TGGGACCCTGTCCAAACACGGTGAGGACCAGCCCTCAGTCGGGAGGACTGGGGTGTGTCATGGGGACCTTGGACGGACCAGACAAAAGGGTCAGTGTGGGGGCAAAACCACAGAGAACCCAGGACGGGCCCTCTTCCTACATTTCTGACGTCCCAGGGTCTCCACGTTGCAATAACGAGTAATAACCGTCCCCAGACTTGAGCTCTATGTGCCAGGCACTGTTTGAAGTACTTTTATACTAGGATTAACCCACCTGAGACTCACAGTCTTAGGAGGACCTGACAGCGATCAGCCGAGGAAATAGAGAAACAGAGAGGTCAAGTTGTTTCCCTGAAGTCACACAGCCTGTGATTAGAACCAGAATTCAAACCGAGGACTGGCTGCAGGCCTGCCTCTCTCCACTACTCTTTCCCCTTTGGGACCCGAGGGTGGCGCTCTGTGTCAGGTAGGGAGTGACCCCACTCCTGTCCCCGCCATCGCCCCAGAGAGGGCACACAGTAGGAGCGTACAAATGCCGGTGGGATTAAACCAACAGCCCTGGGCAGCCCTGAGGCTCCTGTGTGGGCCTCACTTTTCTCATCTGGAAAATGGGGAGAAAGGCCCTGACAGCCACAGTTGGCGTGAGGCTCCTACGATTCCACATCTCTTGGCAAGGCCCGGCACGCAGAGGGAGCGAAGGTCGTTGGCCCAGGTGAACTCCCAGGCTTCACTGACCACTGGGGTTCCCGGGAACACTCATGGTCCCTCACCTGTGATCAGACGCATTGTGCTGTGTGGTCTCACCCAGAGGTTTTCTTCTCCAGAGTCCGGCCAAGAAGAGTTTGCCGATCTCCTGCTCACCAAGGATCCCAGGATCTTCATGCTGGGCCACTCCCTGAGAGATGAGCAGAACAAGGGACTGTCCTTCTATGGTAAGCACCCCTCCAACGTCCACCTCACCCAGACCTCACCCAGCAGACCACCTGCCTCTGTGGCTGGGCCCCCGGAACCCCTGCCCACACCTGAGCCCCAGCTAGGCCCCCGGCATGCTCACCCAGCCCCCTTGTTCCCTCCTGCAGCTGACAAAGCGGAAGTGACTGAGGAACAAAGGGGAGTTTTCCATGAGGCCATCACGTGCTTAGGCATGCAGACTTCGGAGATCATTTACACCGATGCGGAAAAGGTGAACGCAGTGCAGACTAGGCTATGCCCACCGTCGGAGCCATCCTGCCTGGGGGCAGCCCCAGAGGCCTGGATAGGGAGACCTGCCGGCCAAGGCTGCACAGTGAGGCAGGATGACCTACTTTTAAGCACCTGCCTCCCTCCAGGGACAGCTGAGCTCCCCAGAGGCCCAAAAGTTGAGGGCCCAGGAGGGAAAGTCCCTGGGAAACAGGGAGGACAGGAAGGGAGGGGGACCAGCGGGAATGGGGTGGCAGTGGGAACTTGACAGGCAAACACACAAGGGTGATTATCGCTTACACCTGCCGGCCACACCCCGGACATCAGACACCTGTGGATGGGCAGTTGCTATGGTGGCTTTTAGCCACCCCCAAATGCCTCAAGTCCATGACCACCACCCTGATTTCTGCTATAACTGAGAATTACCTGTGTAATAATCTCCTTAATACTTGCCACTCAACCCCTGTTCGGGGAGAGGTTTTCCTTGGTCGTGTCCCATGACACAATCTCTAAAACGCAGAGCTTCTGAGTGGGCTATACTTTTTCAGATATGCATGAAATAGTTTTATTATCAAAGTAAAAAGGTCTCCGTTGGCCACCTGAGGCCATCTCTCCTGCCCACCAGCGGCCTAAAGCTCCTCCAGTCCCCACTCCTGGCAGCTGCAGGAAAGGACTGGGCACACACCACCAACTGGCCCTGGTGTGCAGCCTGCCTTCCCCATCCACTGGCGGGGGGACCGCGGACAGGCCACAAGGCCCCCTGAACCTCGGTTAGATCATGTGCTCAGGAATCCAGATCAGCCCGGGGGCTTGGCGAGTCCTCAGTACACAGCAGCCGTTTGTAAAGCCTCGAGCCCCCATCTGGAGTGCAAGAAGCTGAGGTTCAGAGCTGGACGGTGCCGCGCCCCGGGCCCCTGAGCTGGCTCCACAGTCCGGGGCTCATCCACCCTTGCCCTGACAAGAGCCCCTCGCATCACCGGGCTCCCCTCTCGCTGTCTTCCAGGATCTGTGTGGGCCGCTGGAGAAACAGCACAAGGAAGAAAGGCAGAAGGAAAAAGAGGGACACACAGCGTTGGATTAGGACCCTGGGGACCGTGGGGCTCATCCTCAGCCCTATGCCCACCCCTTTTGTACATCAGGTTTTTGTCTCAGGTGCATCAATAAAGCTTCTGCCTTTGAAACGGGAGGCAGGGGCTCGTTTGCTCATGTCATCATTCATTCATTCATTCACGGGTGTTGAAGCCCGCCCTGAGCTGAGCCCTGGCCAATCAGGGCATAAGGCCCAGCCCTTGGTGGGAAGAGCCCCCGCTGTCATATGCAGCAAGGCTGGGAGGATGATGGGCACAGAATGTTGTGGGAACCCAGCACAAGGAGGTTCCTTCTGCAATGGAAGTCTGGGAAGGCTTCCTGGAAGGGGTATCTGAACCTGCCCAGAAAGATTTGGAGGTTTGAACACCTGCTCTTCCAGCTGCAAGCCAAGGATCTGGAAGGATGTTTGGCAAACACCGAGGCAGAGAGCCCCGGTAGGAGTTCAGGTAAATGAGGGTGGGGCGGCGGGTGGAGGACTGCAACAGGTGGTACCAAGTGTGCTGGACCTTCCATCAGATCGCACCGTGGCCATCTGGAGAGGCGAGTTGGGAGGGGGCTGGCCTGGGGCAGAGAGCAGCAAGTGTGGTGGCTGGCGGGGTGGGGCGGGGGGCTGGGAAAAAAGCTAAGGGACGGGCGCCTGGGTGGCTCAGTGGGTTAAGCCGCTGCCTTCGGCTCAGGTCATGATCTCGGGGTCCTGGGATCGAGTCCCGCATCGGGCTCTCTGCTCAGCAGGGAGCCTGCTTCCCTCTCTCTCTCTCTGCCTGCCTGTCTACTGTGATCTCTCTCTGTCAAATAAAAAAAAAAAAAAAAAAAAATTAAAAAAAAAAAAAAAAAAGCTAAGGGAGGACACAGCTGGCTTTGGTGAGAAGTTCCCAGAGCTTACGAAGGAAGTGCAGTAACAGGGAAAACAGACTTTGGAGTCAGGCATTGTGAGATAGTGCAGGCCAGCCTTTGGGACCTCAGTCTCTCTTCTAGGAAGGGGGCACATGGCAGGAGCCCGGGAGGCTGCCATGTGCCCTGTGTGAGCCTGCCATGCTGAGTACCGAGCTCAAGGATCGGTGTCTACTGGGTGCTTGGGAAAGGGTGGCTGACGTTGCTGTCTGCTACTAGGCGGATCACTGGAAAGAGTCCAGGCTCCTGCTTTGGCAGACACCAATCTGCTGTGTGTCTCCTACCAGCTCTGACCTTGGCCTGGCAGCCTCTCTGGTCAAAATGCCCAGTGGGGGCGCCTGGGTGGCTCAGTGGGTTAAGCCTCTGCCTTCAGCTCAGGTCATTGTCTCAGGGTCCTGGAATCGAGCCCCAAATCATGTTCTCTGCTCAGCGGGGAGCCTGCTTCCCCCTCTCTCTGCCTGCCTCTCTGCCTACTTGTGATCTCTGTCAAATAAATAGATAAAATCTTAAAAAAAAAAATGCTCAATGTCCTGACCCAGGCTGCTGGGGCAGCATCGAGAAACAGAAACCCCCATAGGGGTTGCCTGTGTGGCTCAGTCGTTAAGTGTCTGGCTTTGGCTCTGGTCATGATACCAAGGTCCCGGGATCAAGCCCCACAACAGGTCTCCCTGCTTGGTGGGAAGCCTGCTTCTCTCTCTCCCACTCCCCCTGCCTGTGTTTATCCTCTCACTCTCAGTCAGCTAAATAAAATCTTAAAAAAAAAAAAAAAAAGGAAAAAAAAACCCCAAACCCCCATCGGAAGGCAGGCAGAGTCTGGAAAGGGGCACTCAATAGATCTCCCGAGGGAAGGGTTCAGCTCATCTTAGAACTTTCCACTCCACAAACTTGAGTCAAGAAACCACACCTCAAGGACACACACATGCCACGAATGTGAGCCGCTTTGGGAATGTTTTTTTTTCTTCTTTTTAAAAAAGATCAATATTCATTCTTCTTCATTTGCCCTCATAACGAAAATAGATTTTTAAACGCATCAAATATACAAATATCACCGATGCATACACGTTCCAGAAAAGCTGAGGTACACGCTGCTACGAGGTGGGGAGCACGACAGGGGCTGGCCTCCCGGCTGTACAGTGCGGCCTGGCAGGGAGCTGCCCACTAGCTAGCCAGGTTCCACAGGGATCCCAGAGACAGAGCTGGGGGTGTCGGGATGAGCTACAGAGAGGGACCATGGTGGATGGCTTCCTGGTCCCATGGGGAGTGAGGATCTCTCTTCCCAGCAGGCCCACGGGAAAGGACTCTCTGACCACGGAGAAGCTGGGCGCACGTCCTCCTAGGGGCCTGACATCTTGACATTTCAATGGTCCCAAAGTGCTCTACTGGCCACCAGTCACTAGGGGGAAAGTGCCCGGACATCCCTTCCCCGAGATGCCGACTCCAGAGCGGCGGGTCCTGGACCAGGAGACTCGTTTGCACCAGAGACCTTGGCCCGAGCCCTTCTTATCTGGCCTTGTAGGTTGGACCAAAGACCAGGAAAACTCCGCTTCAAAACAAATCTGTCCGTCTGTATATGAAATGCATATTATTAGCCAGAGGTGGACGGTACAGGACCAGGAGACCCCAAAGATCGCATCTGGGCAGAAGCAGCCGAGGTCCCAGCACTTCCTATAGGGGCTGGGCACCCGGGAAGTTCCCTCTCTGGACGACCGGGCCAACACTCCTTGCGCAGTGGAGACACCCAGTAGGCAAGGCCTGAGCTAGAAAGACACCTCTCAGGAGGGGCCTGTGGGGCCTTCAGCAGTGACTCCAGCCGACCCCCTGCCCGGGGGGCAGCAGCAGCCCGCCTGCCAGCCTTGCCCCCGCCAGCTGGTTCTGGGTCTCTGGGAAAGTCAGAAGAGGCAGGAGCCCCGCAGGCTTCGGGTCTGGCGCAGGTCGGCAGACAGGGAGCGGCTCATGTGCTTGGTGGTGGAGCGGATGCCCTCAGCGGCCTGCATGGCTTCTGCGAGCGCCGTGTTGAGCTCCTCCAGGTCCTCCAGGTCCAGCTGGATGGAGCGTCGCTGCCCCCTGGCCGCTCGGGAGGGGGTCGAGGGAGGCCAGTCAGCAGGGGCTGAGTGGGCTGAGGAGGCAGAGGTAGGTCCTGGAGGCACATAGTACCTGAAGAGAGAGGGGGCTGTGTTCATGCACCGCGGCCAGGGCTGAGCAGAGCGCCGGGGTCGGCATGCACCCCGTTCTGGCCCCAGGTGGGCCCCGGCCCCCACTCTCGGGGGCTCAATGTCCGCACCTCTCAAGTGGGAATAATAAACAGCTCCTTCAAGGATGCGGCAGAAGGATGAAGCATGAGGACAGCAGTGCCTGACCTGGAACAGGTGCACAACGACAGTCCTTCCTTCTCCCCATTCACTCAGTACATCTTTATCAATCCTATACTATGTGCCGGCCGCTGAGCCCGGCCCTGCGGTGACACTGCTGACCCGCTGCCTTCCTGGGGCTTCTAACCTGAGAGCCAGATCGCAGGGACAGCAGGGTCACCCCAGGCTCTCTTGGAATCAGTCTGGCAGCTCCTCATAGGTAAAGGCACTGCCCCACCCAGAGCCGGCACCGCATCCTGGGTTTGGGGGCTGGGCTCAGAGCTAAGTGTTTGCTCCACCAGCACATGGTTTGCTTCTCTGGTGAGCACCGTTATGCTGACTTTATGGATGATCAAGAGAAGACCAGAGGGGCTACGTATGCAGGAGGCTTGGCCCCCAGTGCTAGCTATTCTGGGGGGTTGGCCATAGGACGCTGGCCATGGGACTCTACCCTTCAGGGACTACCGTACCCCCACTGAAAGGAGCCACAGTTAGCCACCTCCCTGGATCGACCCAACAGGAACTTCCAAGAGAAAAGCTCCACTGGCTGTCTGGGCACTCACAGTGCCTCTGTCACTGTCAGCTCAGGGTCAGACAGCTGCAAGGGGCGGCACTCTGTTCACACCCAGAGCTCAGTCATCAGCACCCAGTGACAACTTTACATACCACCTGAACCCCATGAATAGGCTTCTTGCCTCCTATTCCCTCCTCCGGGGACTATCTAGTCTAACTACTGGGTTTCTGCACACCCCTAGCTTCTAGGAACTGGATGACCAGCTTGGCCCCGAAGTGTTTCAAAACTCCCGCTAAAGCAGAAGCTACAACCTCCCCACTCCATCAAAACAAAAACCGTTTTTAGCTAGAAAGCCCCTGGTGCAGAGGCTGGAAGACAGACGGCCAGCAGGTGGCAGCACAGGCCCATACATTCCTGAGGGCGCCCTGGCCTGTCACTGAGCATGCTTAGTTTGGCAGAAGACAGCTGGAGAAACCTTAGGGCATCATCCGCCCCAATTCTAGGAGCACTGGAAGTAGTACGGTTCCTGGCCAACTTCTACATACTGTTGGCTTTCCATGCAGTAGTTCGTTTACTCCCTACCACAACCCATTACACAGAGGGAAACACTGAGGTACAGACTGGGAACAAAGTGACCCCCGTCCAAGGTTGTATGGCTCCCACTGACCAGGTATGTCGGGCACTACAGCTCAGGGCCTTTCCCCTTCCCTACGACCGGGCCATTTCTGGGGATAGCAGCCTGGTTAGGTCTGTCCACAGGTCTGAGCCTGGAAGGACATGGAACAGCCTCAGAAGCAGTGAGTCCCATGCCTACCAGGGGAACTCGGAGCTTTATCCCAGGCCACCAAACTCCAGGCAAAACCTGCCCTTCCCAGTGAGCAGGAGCATAGGCAGGGGTCTCAGCCCCTGTGCGGGGGGTCTGAGCGTGCAGGACGGCCTCTAGTAGCTGATGGAGGAGAATGTTCCCAGACTCTGCTGAGGGCGGCAAGACGCCCCACTGCAGGCTAGGGTCCTCAAGGGGCCCGGGGGCTGACTGGTACTGGTGCCTCTGCTCCCACCAAGCACCAGGCCCCACAGGGACCCCCGCCTCTTGCGGACACAGACAAAGGCTTCTGACCAAGACTCCCGACAGACTCATTTTCCACTGAGGGACACTGAGGCACAGAACTAGCGGGTGTCCTATTGCAGCCACCTTTCCTCGTTTGTCTCCTAGGACAGCAGTGCGCAGTAGTGCTGTGGGCTGGGAGGACGGTGCTGCCCTCTGATCGGGCCGCGAGCTGGCGCCTGCACTGCCCCGCACATTGCGCACACATCTCCCGAGCGCCTGGCCACGCGCCTCGTTTAATCCTTGCATAACCATCTCTGGTCCAGACTATTACCCCATTTACCAGGTGGGGAAACCGAGGCTCGGAGAAGCAGTCGCTCTACTGAGGCCATGGCAGCAGCAAGCAGCAGACGGGAGTCTGGTGCAGCTCCGAGTCTCCAACCTGAACCACTTCTGCCTCCACGGCTCACTTCCTTTTTCTCCTGCAGATGTTCTGTCCACATCCACAAAGAGGCGTGCTCCTCCTGCCACAGCCCTGCCCAGTCTTCCTCCACGCTCAGGGCCTCAGACACGGGGAATGTCTTAGAGACGGTCACAGCCAAGAGGGGCCTAAGGACCCACGACCACCAAGAGGCATGTATGTGGCCTCCTGGTTGGGATCCCAGACAGAAGTTGTTCCAGTAAAAACTGAAGAAAGCCCAGGAAACTGTGGGCTTTAGTTAAGAGTAAGTTATTAATATTGGCTCACTATCAAAGGTGCCGTATGAACGTAACAACAAGGGAAACTCTGTGTGTGTGTGTAGGGGGTATATGTAATTCTCTGTACTATCTGCTCCATTTCTCTTACATCCAAAAATGTTCTTAAAAATAAAGTCTATTAAAAAACAGTGAGGGAGCAATTACTTGCTTGCTGGGAAGACCCACAAGGAATGGGGAGCTTCCCACGTGCTTTCCCTGCAAGCTCGTAGAGCTCAGGGCCCTCTGCCGGCTCCTTCACTGCCGAGCACCCCGCCGCCAGGCCAAGCCTCTCCGTGGGAGGCAGGAGCATCTGGGGCTTGTTGAGTGATTACATGAGCGTTCAGCATGTTCTGCTGGTTATAAAGGCGGGGGAAACACAGGAGTACCAGGTGCCCGGGCTCTCAGCTGCCCGACCTGGGTCTGACTGTGAATCCTGCAGTGACTCAGACAGGCAGGGAAGGAAGGAAAGGAGGATTCTTACACAGTGGCTGATGGAAAAGGCATGACGGGAACCGAGGAGACGTAGCCCAAGGCAGCAGGGGTGGGTGCTGGGGGCGCAGCTGCCAGATACCACAGTCCCGGGGGTGGCCGGGCCGGCGACCCAGCACGCTTGCTCCGCTGCATGGGGCTGGAGGCTGGGCGTGTGTTTCTCCTGCTGGCAGCCTTGTCTGGCCCTGGGAGGGAGGGACACCAGAGACAACAGTCTGATCACTGGGGAAGATCTAGCCAAGACCAGGCCTCCCCCCCAGCCCCTGCCCTGTGACAGGTGGACACTGGGCTGGCCACGCTGGGAGCGCTGGACTTTGAGAAACAAATCTTCTGTCCACTTTGCTCTATCCCACACTGGGAGAGCCACCATCCCAATGAAATACCCTAAGGACCCACGAACCCCCATAAAGGAGAGCTGGGGGTCTCTCTGGGAGAAGAGAGTGTCTGTCCCTACACAGTGAGTGTAGGGACAGAGTGAGTGTCTGTCCCTACCCGAGGCGGCTGAGTCTGGGCCATCCGTCGCTGGGGGCAGCCTGACTCGACCACACAGGGGGCACTGCAGGGGATCAGTCGGGGACGATCCTGGTGGGTCCCTGGTGACACTGCCAGCTGGAAGAGGAGGAAGAGATGTCAGGAGAGGATGAGGTCCGGATCACTGGCCTGGAGCCCCCAAGCAGACCTCCGTCAGCACCGAGCTTCCCTCGGGGGCCACTGCAGAGGGGACAAGCTGCCTCCGTGACAGCGAGGGTCAGCATATAACAAACCTGGGCTTCTGCTGAGGGCCTTCATGCATTCTGCTATCAAATCCAACAAGCCACGGGGCTAGCTGAGACATCACTCCCATTTTACAGACTGGTGAACTGAGGCTCCTAGAGCTTGAATGATTTGCCAAAATGTCCGAGTAGGAAATTGGCAGTGCTGTCTGAGCCCAAGCCCGGCTCTCCAGAACGCAGGCCCTGAACCTACGGTTCCTCCTCCACATTGTTCATATGGGAGTGGCCCACAGTGGCCCCTCAGGCACGGGAGGGTTGGGGGGGGGTGGTCAGTGGAGGCCTACGGGAGGAGGCGGAGGGTGGGCACCTTGTTCTCTTCCCCTACAAATCCTCAACACCTCCCCCGGGTAGAATTCCAGGGTTGACCCACTTCTTCCAGCTGCACGTCAGGGGGAGGCTTCCCACCCGCTGCCTGGGGTTGCAGGCTCCCACCTGTGCCTCCTAGCCCAGCTCGGACCACTGTTTTGTCCTTGTCTGCTTAGCCCACGGCCCAGGATGGGATGGTGCTCAATGAGCGAGTGAGCGAGTCAATGAATGAATGAATGGAGGAACGAATGAACAGGGAGGCCTGCTGGGACTCGAGCAAAGGCAAAGCAACACAATGGTGAAGAGCCAGAGCTCTGGACTCACAACCACCTGGGTTCAAATCCTGGCTCTACCACTAGTAAGCTGTGTGCCCTTGAGCAGGTTACTTAACCTCTCTGGGCCTCAGTGTCCTCACCTGTAAAATAGGTGTAGGAAGAAAATGGACAAAACCCATTTCATAGGGTTGTGAGGATTAATGTTTGTAAATCCCTTAGCATGATGCCCTGCTTACAGTGGGGGTTTACTAAGGGACAGCTCCATCATTATCATCATTGCCTGAAAGGGCCTTTGGACCCTCTCCAATCCTTTCATTAAGGACGTGAGGCTGGAGGCTCATAGATGTTCAGGAAGTTGCCTGAGATCACCCAGCAAGTCAGTGGCAGGACTGGGACTAGAGCCCAGTGCCCATATTCTCCGGCCACTTCTCTCCCCATGACTCTTCTGATAGGTCTGGGGGAAGGAATCAGAATGGTGAGGATGGCGGGGAGACAGGACAGAATTATCCCGCCTGGCCCCTACTACCTGCCCCCCCCCCCACCGCCTTATCAGGACTTAGGTCATACGCATTGTTTCTCCCTGTCCTGGTCAAGGAGCGTAGCATTAGGCAGCAGCACCTGGAGACACAGGTGTGAGGACAGGAGATGTCGGGAGGGCTAAGGAGCCCCCCCAAATCCTGTTCCCTTGTCTGTACCTTGACCTGCCACTGAGGTCAGGGCAGGCCCCCGTCCTACGTCCTTTCCTAACAGGAGCAGCAGCAGCCTCTATGCATTGACCACTTCCCCAGGTACCACCCCTCACCTGATTCCCGGGTCCTGGAGGGTCGGCACTGGGGACAGGAGACTGAGCCACTGCATCTTGGGGACGTCTTGGGGGTCACAACATGGTACTCCTTGCCTGGGAAGAAACCAGACCGTCCGCTTTGGCATGTTTGGAGAACCGAGGAGGATCGGGGAGGTCATATAGAAGGCATGAACAAAGCCCAGCTCTGGCAGGCTGGAAGCAGGCCAGGAGGACAGGAGAAGCAAGTACAAGCAGGGCTGCCTTCCCCAGACCCGCCACTTGCCAGGTGGCGTTGGGATGGCCTGGGCACGGGGTGAGCTGGGTCTTCTCCTTGTGCTGTGAGCGGCTGTGAAATGGGGACCATCCCAGTCTGGGTCTCACGGGTGTCATAAGGGGTGAGTGGGGCCGTGTCTGTGAGGTGCTCTGCCCGGCGTCCAGCACATGGACAGTGCTCCTGGTTGTCAGAAGGTTGGACAGATGCTTGGGTCTTTATCCACACCTGTCATCTGCTGCCTCGTCCCTTTCTGAGCCTCAAGACAGATCTTCAGGATGTGGCCTGATCAATCCTCTTCTGGCTCCCCAAGTCCCTGCAGGCTTCCCACTTCCTATTCTATGTGTGTTGCCTCGGGGCCCCCGGACCGGCCGGCTGTTCCCACGTCTAACCCCTCAGCTCTCTCTGCTCCCTGGGAGAGGACATGCGTCTCTCACTTCCTGCCATGTCCCCTGCCCTCGGCCCTATGGATCTGAGGTGAACTGCCGTCCCTCCCAGGCTGCTACGAGTGACAGCCACCTCTGGAATTTACACACCTGATGTCATGGCTCATTTGTTATCGTCTGTTACACAGTCAGATTCCTGGAAGTCAGAGCTATGTCCGTGTTTGTTTTCAGGTTAAGCACTCTGAAATCCTACTCTGTGTCACCAGAAGTCTTACTATGTGCTGGGTGCCTAGTTCAGGAGACACGGGGGCTGATGCCTTGGGGAATCCGACCTGAAGGTGGGCGAGGGGCCAGTGATCTGGTGTCCGCCCTGCACACAGCAGAACCCTCTTTGTGACCGACCAGCTAAAGGGGCTCCCCCAGAAGCCAGCATGGGGTCCAGGGCAGGGAGGCATCAGACTGTTTGCTGGGGGAAAGAATGGACTCACAGAGGAGGCACTCCCCCGCTGCTCCCTGTGTCACAGAATTCACAGAAAAATGCTCATCTTTCAATGGCCCATGGTGAAAGGGGGAAGGCTTCCGTGATGGGGGTCCTCCCCGGGGGTTGGGCCATGCCCCGCAGCCCACCTGTGTACTGGCCCCAGAAGGAGACCCTTTCTGGCCGCCTGGTGCCACCAGCTCTTCTCATTCTGTCCCGAGTGGATTGGGCACTGTCCTCGGTGGCCTGGCTCTTCTCAGAGAACCGCTGGGGGGAGGTTGGCTCAGATTCGGAACCTGGGGTGGGAAAAGAAAGCCATCGAAGGGGGACAGGGGACGTGTCACAGAGCTCAGGGAGAGAGCCAACCCTAACTTGAGGCTCTGGGGCTGAGCTCGGGTTTGATCCTGTGTCTGTCCCTTAGTAACAACCGCTGACACATGGGGATCCCTGACCTTGTGCTGAGCACTGGGCTGGACCCACTGGGCCATGCGTGCACCCTCACGGCAATCCCCGGACGGGAACACTGTTACCACTGCAGTTAGCTGTCCCTTTAACTGCACAGAGCAGGTCAACGCCCGGGCCAAAGTCACACAGCCAAGAAGGAATGAGGTGGGCTGATCCCCACCCCTTGTCCTTCAGGCACTTCCCCTGCACTTCTGGGCTCTGGTGTCTTCATCTGCAGAATGTGGGTGATACGCCCCTCCCCCCTTGCAGCAAAGATGGAACATGAGGACCACACAAAGCCCTTCTAGAAACCCTCACGTGCGTGACATTCCATGGCCATCACTGGAAGTGCACTGTACCTCAGACAACTATGAGGGCCTGAAGAACACACACAGAACCTTCTCCAGGTTCCTTCTAAGGCTACTGCTATGGTCCTTGACCACTGAGCTAACAGGCCCAGACGGGAGCCTCCGGACATCAGTCTGGGCCCGTGCTTACTTACTCAGGGACAGCGGCGGCACCTCCCGAGGCACCGAGGAAGACCTGGCTCGCCGCCTTCCTGCGTGCTCCGCTCGCTCCCCCACTGCGGGCTCAGCAGACAATCTCTCTGTGGATCTACTAGCAAAAAGGAAAGAGAGGAACAATGTCAGCAGATGCAGCTTCATGCAGACTTTCCAGGTGACCAGCAAGCAAGCCAACCCAGAAGGAAGCACGAAAGTCAAAATCAAAGACTCTGAGTCATGCTCACAGAAAGCCTCTGTGACCCTCCGTTTCCTCATCTGTCGTGAGGGGATAAGAACAGCAACTACACGGAGGATTCATGAGACAATGTCCGTGAAAACCTCAACCCAGTGCCCTCCCATAGGAACACTTAGGAACAGATGATCACAGAGGACACGCCGAGGAGCGAGCGAGCAGGTGGACATCTTGGGAATGTCTAGCTCTTGAAGCAGGTGGTGAGTTCAGGTGACACTGTAGACATTTTATGCATTGAATATTACATAGTAAAAAACTGTCCGAGGGGGAAAGGGGTGTCAATCCCCATGTGTGGAGAGCCCCAGAGGCAGCCAAGTCTCCCTCCTGTTGCTGGCCCCAGGGCACAAGGGTGAGCGTTTGGGGGTCACCCACCTGCCATAGTGGGAGCCCCAGGAAACAGAAGCATCTGCGGGCCGGGCCCGGGCCCGGGTGGGGCGGCTGAGGGTGGACACGGGGCGTGTCGGGCTGCCCTGGGCTGGCTGGTGCAGGCTGTCTTCCAGGCGCAGACGGAGCCGGGAGACCTCTTCCTGCAGCTCTCGGATGGCCTGGCTGGGGTGGGGCGGGGGGACAGAAATGAAGAGTGCATATACGATGCCGCAAGCTGCAGCCACCCCGAGGGCTGCTCGGATGCCCCGGGCTTGTCCCTTTCCCAGCCGGCACTGGGTCCAGCTCTGCTGTCGACCGATTTTGCAACTTCCTGGTGTGTCCATTTTTCTTGCTACCTATCTCGACCTCTCTCTGAGCTTGTGTCCCTGCACATTTGGCGGGCAAAGCAGCACATCCTTTGAAGGTCACCCAACCCAGCCCCGCCCCATGCAAGGCCTCTGAGTAGCTTTTCTGAAGAATCAGTGGCCCATTGTCAAGATTGCAGGGAGGGTGCAGAATGATGGTGTTGCTGAAGGTCCACTTTAAAATCTGCCTAACTGGCCTGGGCTGCCCTCTATATTTATTTGATGGAGAGAGAGAGAGAGAGAGCACAAGCAGGGACAGCGGCAGGTAAAGTGAGAAGCAGGGAACCTGCCACGCGGCTCAATCCCAGGACCCCGGGGATCAGGACCCTAGCTGAAGGCAGATGCTTAATCGACTAAGCCACCAGGCGACACCCCCACTCCCCCATCTGTAGAAATGCTAACTAACAGCTCAGGCTGGTTTTCTTCCCACCCTTACTTGGCCATCCGTCCTGGCTTCCCCTGAACATCTCCCACGTTGTTCAAGCCTGTCTGCTGGTGATAGAAGATACTTGGATGTGAGCAGACTGGAAGGGCACAGCGCTCTCGACAAGGCTGCTGTGGTCCCCAGGGGCCCCCAGACACAGACCAGCCTCTTACAGGCAAGTAGCTCAAAGAGGGGCTGGCATCTATGGGGTAAGAACTGTTTGCGTGTCTTTCCAGCCAGCACCCGTATCTCCGGGTCTCATCTGAGACTCTGGCATCACGGCCAACGGGGCTCCCCCACGACCCTGCACATAAACCCCTACACACAATGCGTCGGCGTCCGGGCTCGGCACAGCCTGGGCTGGTGCAGGGGCTCCATCTCCTGTTTGGGCCAGCTTCTGGCGCAGAGCTCCCCTCAGGCTCTTGCTTGGTAGCCCCGGAATGGAGGCAGAGTGTCTGCGGGAGCGGAGAGCTCTCTAACTGGGCCCCAGGCAGTGAGCGTCCAGGGCATTCAGGTCTCCTGGCAATCCCCAGGGAGACCTTTGTTGGGGTTTCCAAGGCCAAGAGCGGGGCGTCGGCAGGAGGGCGGGAGCTCCTGTTACCCGTTCACCCCTGCAACCAGAACTGGAAGGCTACTCTGGGAGGTGAAGGTGGCCCGGTACTCAGAACACTCACTGGGGTGTCGCTTGCCCCCTCTGTGTGTTTCCGGCAGGATCTCAGTCTTGCTGACTTAATTAATGCTTTTGTGACTGAGAGCCTGCTGACATTTCAAGTTCATCCTTCTCTGTCAACTTTTTCCCCTGCTGAGTTCCCCATCTCTGTATCGGCATCCAACTGGCTGGCCAGTCAGAAGTCTGACTCATTCGAGACCCTTCTCCCTCCCTGAATGCCCCCAAAAGTTAACCAACTCGTAAGTCCTGTGGGCTCAATGCTTACGTCTCTTTTCGAACGCACCCCATTCCCACCTATGCCCCATCGTGTCTGTCCTGGGGGAGTGGCTTTCTTGGCAGTCTGCCCGCCTTGCCTCCTCACCCAGCGAGTGGCCAGACAACTCCTTCTAAAACATGAACCTGACCTTCCCACTCTCTTTTAAATCCCCCTCATCGTCCTCAGCTATACCCGTATGCATCTGTGAATATTAAGTGAACTCATTTCTCTGAGCTGAGCCACTATCCAAACCTCTCACCATGGTGTTTGAGGCCCTCTGAGGCCCCCCCAGATCTCCCGGTATCCTTCTTCACTGCTCAGTGCTCATCATAGCACCCACGCTCAGGGACCCAGCTAAAATGAACTGCCTCTACCAAGGTGATGGGCTCTCCCTCACCCACAGGCCTTTGCGCATGCTCTTGTCCCTGCCAGGAACTCTTCTGTCTCTCTAACTTCTGGTTTCTGCTGAGATACCTCCTCCTCCAGGAAGCCCGCCCTGAAGCCTCTGACTGGGCCTGATGTCCTTCGTCTGTGTTCCCACAGTCCTTGGAGCCTCTGCTGCCACTGCACTTAGACTGGCAAGTGTGACAATATGTTTCTTTGTTCATCCTACAAGATGGCGAGATGTCCTAGGCCAAAGGCTGTCTTGTCTGCTATCATATTCTCAAGGGCTGGTGTATCGCTGACCCACAAGCTGGAACTCCTCTGCCAGGGCCACAGGAGACTGCAGCAGGACCCTTATTAAACTCCAGACAGGATGCCCAACGCCAGACCTTCACCCGCCTCTGCAAACAGGGAACATGACAGGCCCATGATGGCACAGGCCCTGAGGCCTCGGATGGGGTCCCAACAGAGCAGCCTTCCCTACATACCTGGGACAGAGACCCCCAATCCAACAAAGGCCTGTGATTGCTTACTGGCCAAAAGCAACTCAAAGGAGAGGCAAGAGGGCTGGCTACCCTACTTTACCACTTCCGTTCAAACAAGCAAGGAACAACTCTTAGTGGGACAATTGTGCTTGGATTAAAAAGAAGAGAATCGAGGACCAGTCGCTCCTCAATTCATACAATGGCAGCACCAACTGCTAAAAATCCACCTCCAGAAAGAGTAGAGTGGCTTGGAAGAGAAATACTAGGGGACAGGGACCGAGGTCTTAGCACCAGAAAGGGGAACCCCTAGGTCATTCCCCACTGGCCAGAAAAGTGTCCTCAAAGTCCACATCAGTGAGGTCCCACGGAGTGGCCCTGAGCTGGGAAGCAGGACACCTGGGTCCGAGGGCCCCCCACACGGCCACCACTGGATATGATTGCTGAGCGAGGCCCTGCCTCCCCTGGGCACCACTGTTCCGTCTCTGTGCTGGTATTAGACTTACTCTCGCCCTGTCCTGGTGAGAAGGAAGGTGCGGGCGCTCTCTGTGGGTCCAGGGGGCAGAGTGGCAGCCGCAGGGGTCAGGGTGGGCGGGGGGCTGATTGTCGCGTTGCGGGGGAGCTGTTCGGAAACCTGCTTTCGCCCCTCGAACTCTGAGCCAGGGACCGCTAGGAGGCAAAAAGAGAGCAAGGTGAGTTGACCCAGAGAGGACCCTCGAAGCACGAATTTCTGCGGGTAGGAGGATACGGGCAAAGAGACAGTGATGGCTAAGTTCATAAGTAAAGTTTCCAATGAGGTCACTGGCCCACTGCTCTCAGAACCCGAAGATGTGGTTTTTGCTAAGAGTCTGGAGAGCAAAGCTGGGCCTGCAGAGCTCTTTCTACCTAGACTTCCCCCCGCCATCCACCATTTCAGCATCGGATGTGAGTCTTTAGGAACATTCCCCTGGAAAGCACTCTTTGCAACTTCATGTGGACCCCCTCACACTCTGCTGTACATCACCATGTGGGTCCGCGTCGGACTCCAGAGCCCCATCTCCTCCTAAAATCAGAGCTACACCTTTGCCTGTGTGCACGCTTCTGGGAGAGTGTTCGAAACTTTAGCCTCTCAAAGGCGTGGGCGACCAGAGGTTAAACACCACTCAAACACCACTCATCTGGCCCCTGCATTTCGAAACAAGGAGACCTTGGAACATCAATCAACAGTATAGAAAGGAACAGACTATTGTTACATGGAACAGTGTAGATCAATCTCCCGAGAAAGGATACGTTAAAAAAAAAAAAAAAAATCCACCCCCAAATCATACGGATCATCCCATTTATAGAACATTCCTGGAATGACAAAATACAGACACCGAGGACAGAGGGGGAGGTCACCAGGAGTTCAGGAGGGCGTGTAGGCAGGAGGGGCAGGGATGTGATGGGTCCATAAAGGGCCAAGAGGAGGGCGTCCTGGTCAAAATCTGCCCCGTGGTTTTGCAGGATGTTTCAATGAGGGGGAACCCAGGTGAAGGGACATGGGAAATCCCTGGATTATTTCTCATAACTACATGCGAAATCCTAATTGATTGAACTTTTAATTAAAGTTTAATTTTAAAAAATTTCAATAATGAGCCTTGGAAAGAGCCTTTGATGGGATGAGGGTGATGGTGGGGGGAGCTGGGATTCTGATCATGCGGTTTGTGGGTCTGTGTTCATTTTGTGAAAATTCATCCATTTTTGTTCTTTCCCGTATGTTTATTGCACTAAAAAGCTTACGTGCATCATTTTAAAGTTAAAAAACTGCAATCACAGGATTTCTAGACACGGGAGCGTTCAGGACACAGTGTTTAGTGAACAGGAGGTTATTAAACACTGAGAGAGTGTCATCCCATTTCCATTTAAAGCGTCTCCAAACACGCACACACTGGCAGAGAGGACAGCCCGTAGGTTCGACACCCGAATGAAGCAGCAACAGTTTTTAGCCTACTTTTTTCTCTTTTCCCTGTGGTTTCAAATATTCCCACCATGAACCTCTAGGATATTTTGTATCCTAAAGGGTAATGCAAGTTTTTTGTTAGTTTGATTTTTCAGTCTACGCCGTGCGGCCATTCCCAGGTTCTGGCCAACCCAGATGCACCCACTCACCCATCTTGGCCACTAGCGTCCGCTCTGCGCGGAGGCTCGGTGCCCGCTGCTGCAGAGGACTGGTCCGGCCCGAGGGTCGCCTCTGGGCTTGGCTCCTGGGTGTGCTGGGTTCCACGGCTCTTCTGGGGACTGGAGGAGCCCTGGTCTGGGGGTGGGAGGCTGCATCCCGAGGCTCAGATGAAGCAAAAGGCTGGGCCAACGTTCCCGCGGTGCTGAGGGAGCGAGGAGGCAGAGACGAGCGGAGATCGCACGGACAGGCCCCGGCCTCCGAGCCCTTCCACACACTAAGCCCATGAGCTCCTGACCTCTGGGACTGAGCAACCCCGCACGCTCAGTGTTTCTGAACGTACAACCGAATTACACATGCATTTCTGTGTCTACGGGAGAGCTGGGCACCTGTTTACCCACAGACGCGAGATTATAAAGCTCACGTTCATTTTTAGCAAATATACACGGAAACAGAATTTTAATCCTTTCTTCCCGGGCAGGTCTCCCGGGGGGCTGCACCAGCGTTTGAAGCTGTCACTCCGCATGGCAGCTCCTCACTGCCCCCTTGCCTGAGACCTTGCCTTGGGGTGCTGTCCCCGTCTCCTTCCCCGTAGTCCCCCTGAATCCCTTTAGTCTTGTCTTCTGCTCACCTCATGCCTCTTCTACGTCTCGTTCCCCATTCACTCATTCATTCGCTTAGTAGATACTTACTCCCCCAGCTGTCGCAGACTGGCTGAGTGACGCTGGGCTAGTCACTTTCCCTCTCTGAACCTTGGTGCCCCTCTATTGATAAGATGGAGGCAAAGAACCTTGGTTGGGGATGGGGTGAGGGTCTGAGAATGCCCAGACCATCGAGCCCTGCTCTGGGCCTCATAGCACTTTGATTCCCAGGCTACCCCTACACATGAGATGCTGATGGGGAAGTGGGGAGTCTTGGGGTACCTGATGTGGGAGAGTCGGTGCTCTGGTGTTTGGGTGAGGGGCGACACTCTGCTGGTTTCTGAGCCCACAAAGCCACTGTCTGTCTCTGGGGACGCCATCCAGGGCTCCTGAAAGAGGCGGTGTCCCTTTAAGTCTGAGCAATGTGTCTGAGGCAAGCTAGGAAGCCCTTCCCCGGTCCTGGCCTGGGCCTCACATTCCAGAGGCTCACAGGCTGGGAGGCTGGCCCAGCTCCCAGCAGCCAGGCCCCATGTGTGAGCGTCCTCAGGCGCTGGGGACCAGCATCAGGCCAACAGCAGGGACTCCCCGCCGCTACCCTGAGCGAGTCCCGCTTCCCTGAGGCCCTCGGCAGAGATCCTGTGCCAGCTATCCTAAGCTGAGGAAGAAGGGAAGGAGAAAGCCTTCTCATCCTGGAGATGGGATTCGCACTTCCACATGTCTTCCGGCTGGGGCCTGCAACGCCATGGTCCTGTCTGACTGCAGAAATGCCCCGGGCCAATGACTCGGGAGAATAAAACTCATCCACCGTGCACCCCTCCTCGATACCAGGTCTAATGGAATCATGGGGAACGCAAATAGGCGACACAGGTGCCTGCCCTCAACGAGTTCACGGTCTAGTGCCGATTTCTTACGACGAGGCCAGGATTGTAGGTGTGCATGTGTGCGTGTATGTGTGTGTGTGTGTGTGTGTACAGGTATCTATATGCACTGTTCTATGGGAGGAACCATAGCGTGACATTTCCATAGGGATCTGTGACTCCTGCGACAGTTTAAAAATTGCTGGTCTAATGTCACCAATAGGCCACGGAGTCAAGGACTCCCCCCGATCTGTGCTCAGCAGGCTCAGAGAAATACAGACAATGGGCTCCAAGCTCTTGGAGGACAAGCAAGAGTTCCTGGCAGGGGTGCAGGGGTAGGGGAAGTGACGGGGCATAAGCCCTGGATGTTGGGCAGAGCCGTAACTGGCAGGGACGGAAAGAGCAGGCATGCTGGAAGGGTGTGAGCAAAGGCACGGGGGCAGAAATCTCTGGGAGATCCATGCCCCATGGACATGCTTACCTCTGGAGGGGACCCCCCAGCTTGGCGCAGAGACTTCTGTGGAAGGTGCTCAGAGATGCCGCTTCCCTCTAAGCTGGTCAGACTGCTCCGGTGCGATCCCGCGGTCTTGGTGCCCTGAGGGTGAGGTGGCCTGCTCGGGCCTGGAGAAGCTGCCATGGCTTTGTCCGAGCCCTGGAGGTACCCATTTCTGGCCGCGGATGCATGGATGCCTGCCGACTTCACGGACCCCATCTGCTCTGCCGTCTCCCTGGTGGGGAGGAGGAGAGACATACCAACTCTGAGCCCTTTCCTGGGAGCCACAAAGCCCAGGACACAAGCTCTGGAGCCAGACGCCCCCAGCTGCCCACCCTGGTTGTTGTCATCTTCTAGCTGTGTGACCTTGGGCAGGGCACCACCCCTCTCTGAACTTTACTTTTCTCCCATGTCCAGTGGGGATGGCCAGCAAATCCCACCCAATGCACCACAGAGGCAACAGTGTGGAAACAAATGAGCTACAGTATCATTTCACAGGCTCCGGGAACCCCCTTCTATCTTCCCTACCTCAGCCCCTTCCAGAAACTTCAATCTCCTCAAAGGCTTATGTCATCGTTAGAAACGGAAGATCAGTATTTAATGTGACAAAAACAAAATAACTTTAGCCATAAAAAGAAGACACACAAAAACAGTATTTTTCTATTCTTGACAGAGTCTGTCATCTGCCCAAGGCTCTGGGCCTGGGGCCTGCTCACGGGTTCTGTCTCCTTCTTTCTCTCCTTTTTCTTAAAAGAAGATCAAGAGAGGCACTGAAGAGAGAATGGCTCTGAAGCCTCCCGGACAAATCTGGAAGGTGTGAGACTGAGAAGGAGAGGGACAGTACCTATTGCGGCTTCTGTCCTACCAGAAACCGTGTCCACCCCACCCCAAGTCCCCGCTCGTGTTCTTGGTGGTGTATCCATCCCACAGCTTGGGGAGAAGCAAGAACAGGTCAGGAAAGACATGGCTAAGCCGTGAAGAGCCGCTCACTCTCTAGGACCATGGCCACGCCTGTGGTTCCAGAGTTGGTTTCAGGGACAAGACGGGGGTTCACAGACATACGTGACAGGGGCCCCGTGACGTCGTTTGTCCAGGGCTGGGAGCCGCCTTATGGGGATCCTGGTGGCCTTGGAGTTTCCTAGAGCTGGAGCTGGCCCATCAACTTCCACTCTATGGCCTTGCCCGTCCTCCTCCTCCTCCTCCTCGTCGTCCTCTATCCTCACGGCTTCTGGGAGGGACGTCGTGCTGAGATACCTGCGAAACCCAGAGGAGCATGACTTCTGCCCAGCAAGGCCAAGCACCATCCCGTCGTGGGGCCGGATGCCCTGGCCCCCCTCCTGGTACTCACCGCTCCAGGAGGCCACGGAGACCCTGCTCCACCTCCAGCTCCTCATGCCTGAGTGGGGCCGAAAGGCCCAAGGGCCTGTTCCCCTCACTGCTCACAGGGCTAAGCTCCACATTCACGGTTGAAGCATAGGGGCCCATGCTGCTGGCGGCAGCAGGCTGCGCAGTGAAGAGACAGACATTCAGCAGATAACAGACACTACTCAGTGACCTACCTTCTACGAGGCTCATGTTGGGGGCTGAAAAGTAATAGCTGAGCCTCAAAAACCATGTCACCCTTTCCTGTGTGGGCAGAGCGCAGGGAGCGGACGGGGCAATCTTTAGCACTGACGCCATTCACGGACACCTACTCCCCGCCAGGCTCCACTCAGGCAGCACTTCTCGGTAAGCCCAGCAGGGATGGCTATCACTGCCCATTTCACAGACAGGAAACTGAGGCTCAAATGATTTGCCCAAACTTCCAACAGAAGCGAGGACAGAGCTGAGATTTGAGCCCAGATTTCCCGCCAGAAGCATCTCTCCCGGCCAGCTCCATTCCAGTATGGACACTGAACCCCCAAAACACCTCCCGGGTGGGAGCATGGGAGCCCCTGAAGAGGACACACTCGGGTTTTCATCCACTGGGTGCATGAGGCAGCACTGGGGAGAGCTTTCCCCAGTGGGAGAGCTTCCCCCACATCCCTGAGCCGCCAAGAGCTCCCCCCATCACGGGTATCTCAAAAGCACCTCGCCCTCTGGCAGCCCCCACCTCACCTGCCACGCTGTCCTTTCTCCTGCTCCGTCCCCAACACACATGCCTGTGCAGCAAGGGCAGCAAGATCTAGAGACTCCCCTGCTATCCCCTCACTCTGCTCAACTACATGCCATGCAAACAGTGGTATCTCCCAGGGGCTTGTGATGTTGGCCCTCCAGAGAGACTTCTACAAAGTGCCTTCTGTGCAGGGCCCTTGTCTAGTGTCTCCTGATCTGTGAATAGTCTCCTGGGGTGATCAGTCCCCTGGGACGCAGGAAACCACGCTCTCCCCCGCCCTTCCCCTCACTCCCATGGCACGTCCAGGCAAGTGGGTCTTCTATGCCTCTGTCAGGTCCACGCATCTCTCCATCTGCCCTGCCTCCTGCCCCACCTACCTGCATACCCTCTTTTAATACCACTTGCTGAAAAACCCCCCAAGAGTTTTAAGGCCAAGACTTTAGCCCTGACATCATGGGTCTCCTGACTGCCTCTCTAGCCACAGCTCTCAGACAACTGCCTCTTCACATTCCGTACTCTAACCACAGGGCCTCTGCACAGGCTGCTTCCCCAGCTGCATGACTTCTCTTCTTCTGCATGAAGGAATTCCCACTCACCTTCAGATCCCATTAAAACATTTCTTCCTCAAGGAGAGTTTCTCCTGCCCTATAACCTCAGTCATGTTACCCTGTTACCTCCCCTGGAGCCCCATAATTCTTCTTTGGAGCCCTGAACAAAACAGAATTAGTCCCGCTAGACAGAAAACTCCATGAGGGTAGAGGGCACCCGTTTCTGTTGGTTTCTCACTGAATTTCCATCATGTACCGGGGCCACTGGCATTTGGTGCCTACTTCGCAAGTATGTAGGGAAGAAATCAATTTAATGGAGAAGAGGAGGAGGGGATGGGCCAGTACAGCTGGGCACAGAGGTACCTGAGGGCAGAGGGTCTGGACGGTGGCAGTGGGGGCTTGTCCTGAAGGAGAAGGCAGGCCTGCTGGCTGGCATGGGGAGGGCGAGGCTGGGAGGCTGTCCGGAGGGGAGTCTGACCCGACTCGCCCAGGCTCCTGCTGGTTCTGGTCCATGTGGTCCTTCAGCTCTTCCAGGCGAATTCCCAGCTGGAATATCTCCTCCTCAAGCTCCCTGCAAAGGGCAGACACCAGCACCCGGAGCCTGTTACAGCAGCCACATCGGGCAGGGCGCAAGGCCGTGTTTCAGAGCACAGACCCCAGAGAATGCCCACGGAGGGTCCATTCAGCGTCCTAATTTGAATGACATGGAGAACTCGACAAAACAAGGTGAAAAGGGACTCCACTGGGAACCAGGAGGCCTCTGCCACCAGCAGCCTTTGGGACCTTGAGTCAATCCCTTCCCCCTCTGGCCTCAGGTCCCCACTCTGATGAGTGCTTTCAGGTTTCATATCCAAGGTCATGTCTCACTGCAGTGAGTCCAAAAGGACACAGGTCTTAGCCTTCAGGCTGGATATGATGCTAACCGGGGTAGGAGTTCTCCCTGTGCTTGTAGGGGATGCATGTATGAGATCGAAATGTGCCCTTCCTGGCGACCAAGGGAACCAGGGGCCTCCCTCCCCAGCAGGTACCTGCCAGGATCGAATTTTCCAGGCATCCCCTGGGATCCGGCAATCTGCTGGGCCAGCGGCTGCTCCCTGCAGGCCTTCAGGTACTCCTCTTCCAGGGCTGCGTGGGCAGCCTTTAGGCGCTGGAACACCTGTGACCAGACCAGACTGAGAGGACTGAGCGCCCAGGCCCCCTGGGCTCGGACCCTGCAATGCAGCGCAGGAGACAGCTCATGGCAGGGCCGGGGATGGATGGAGACCCGTCCTCTGGGCCTCCAAGTTGCTGGAAGGCTAGGGTTAGGACGTGGTCTAGCTCTCTGCCGTCAGACTAGCAAGACAGAGCACGGCTTAGAGTCTTGGGACCAGCTCCAGGGAGCACCAGTCTCTCCTGGGAAGAGCTGCTAGAGCTCTGATGTTCCCTGAAGCTCCTGGTGTCAGATGTGCCATCACGCTGTCCCCATAAGGACCTAGTTCTTGAGAGACCATGGATCCTCAGGCTTCTTCTCAAAACTGCGGATCTGGGAACGAGTCACTCTGTTCCCAAATCCTCATAGACGCATGACAGATGATCTTATCACCATCATACCAGGGAAAACAGGAGCTAAAGCTGAATCGCTGTGCATTATTCATTTAATTTCCAACATAATCCTAACAAGAGGGGTCGTTTATCATCTTCATTTAAAGAGGAGGAACTGAGGCACAGAGAGGTTACTGAAATTAGTAAAGGTCACACAGTGAGTGAGCAAGGTGGGATCGGGATTTGAACCCGGGTCCTCTAGCTCTAGAGCTCATGGGTCTAGCAGTGACGCTAGGCCTCCATAGCAAATGTGGTGATAGCTCACAGACGGCTAAGACCGTGGGAGGTCGGATCATCATCCCTGCCTTATTCTCATCCCCATCCCACTCATTCTATGCAGATGGCAGACAGAGTTCAAGGGCAACCTAGAGTCTAGTTCCTGCGCAAGCATGATCTTCCAACAGCTCCTGATCTCCTCCGATATGGGGGAATGAAGATAGAGGGGAAGAAAGGGAATGGTTTTTGATGTTCAAGGTCCTTGGTCATCCTTTCAATGAGATAATATAACACATGGCACACATTTTGCAATTGGAAAACAGATGATGTCTACAGGCTAACACAGTCATTGGGAACATAGTAATAACACAGTGAAAATACAGTTGTTGTTGTTGTTGTTTTTTTAACAAACCAAGTGTGTTGCATTTGCCCCTCTCCATCCCATCTGAGCTCTTCTCTCCACCCTGCTCTGTGCCTCCATTGACATCTGGCCTCCCCACCTGCTGGCTCCCCATGGGTCTGTGCAGCCCCTATGGGAGAGAACAGCCAGTCCTTGGGCTTCCCTGTTCCTTGACAGATCCCCGGACGCTGCCCACAGTCCTGCTCACAGCCCTACATCGACCCCCTCACTCCCAGCTCTGAGAGCTCCCCTGCTCCTTCCCAGGACCCTGGCTGAGGCAGCAGAAACCTAGATTTTATATATGACTACAGTTTATCTAGAAATACCAAAGTCCAAAGGAAAGAAGCCAATAATGGTTAGAAGAAGGTGCTTCTCCCCTTTCCCCCTTGGTTTTCTAATATTGGGCAATTACTTTGATAAGAAAGGTAAGTAAAGAGAAAGTCTGCTGCTGGTGGCTGAGAAGCTGCATTGTCAGGGGGAAGCAGTCCAGGCCAGTGAGGACCACCTTGGCCTTGGGAGTCAGACGGACCTGGGTCTGGGCTCTGCTGCCTACTAGCTGTGTGGCCTTCTCCATTCCATTCCAGTTAAATGGGGGTGATGACTCTAACTGCCTTACCGGCTTTCTATGAGAAAATGAAGCCACCTGTGTCCGAGGCTCACCACAGTGCCTGGCACACCATCGTCACGGCTAAGGAGCGGGAATCCTGTGCTATCATGATCGTGATCCTGGCAAGCTAGGCAGCGGCTATCTGCTCTCAAAGGAGACAGTGAGTCTGGGATTCTCTGGCCTGTCCTGTGGCAGACGAGGCTTCAGAGACTCGGTTGTGGGAGACGAAGTCTCCTGCGGTGGGTGGTACCTTGAGTTGGTCCTGGGCTGTCAGACGTCCCGCCTGTATCAGTCCCTCAAAGGACTCCACCTGGACGTTGGGAGGACAGGAGACACGCTCCGTTAGTCCAGACCCTGGAAGATGGGTCCCACAGCCCCTCACCCCACACTTAGTCACAGTTATACACTGGCACCAGGAACTGGGTCCCGCCTCAGGATGTGGGTTTTCTGCCAAGCACGGGAAGGCGGATGCCGGTCACTGACTCCACCATGGGCCTCGACCCTGGCAGCCTTTGAAAATATCAAAGTGGAGCCTCCCAGAATTTATCCAGAGCAAAGCACACTCACTCATGTGCATGAAGGCCTATGAGACAGGAGTGTTCACTATAGCATAACTGGGGGGCAATGGGAAACCCTCTAAAAGCCCATGCGTGGAATAGTATGCAGCCATCAAGAGGAGGAAAGGTATGTGCACCTGTTCCTCTGTAAGGAAAGACCTACTTTTCAGTGTCAAATCAAGGGACAGGCCAGTCTTTTTAATATGCTACCATTTGTATAAACTATCGAGAGAATAAAAAAGGAAAAATATAAATACATTTGCCTATATATTCTAGACAACCTCTAGAAGGATGCAAGAAACTGAAACCATTCATTGCTTCTGGGGCAGAGAACTGGGTGGCGGGGACGGGGTGGGGGACAGGGATGGCAGGAAGCATTTTTCCTATATGCATCTTTTGAGCTTTGAACAAAGTGAATTCATTGCCTACCCAGAAAGAGTCAACTTCGGGGTATTTAAAAAGTCAGGGTATAGCATAGCATACATACTTAAGTGACCATTTCTATAAACACGCGTGTGTGTGTTGAACATTTTTGCACAAAACAGAAGGGCAAGTACAGAAAAACAGACTTTTCACTGCATATGTCCTCTGTACCATGTGAGGGACTTTACGGTGGGCATCTATTATCGTTACCAAAAAATTTTTCACTAGGAAAGAAAGGGCAAAGGCGATTTGGGGCTTTCTGGGATTTCTAGGAAAGCTTCAGTTTAGTGCAAAATTGTAATATAGAAATTTAGTTTTCTAAGATTTTATTTACTTATCTGACAGAGAGAGACACACACACACATGCAGCAAAAGAGGGAACACAAGCAGGGGAAGTGTGAGAGGGAGAAGCAGGCTTCCCAATGAACAGGGAGCCTGATTCGGGGCTCGATCCCAGACCTGGGATCATGACCTGAGCCGAAGGAAGAGGCTTAATGACTGAGTCACTCAGGAGCCCTAATTTAGAAATCTATATAATACAATGATGTTCCATAACTTCTCTATATAAAATAGAAATGCAATGCAAGGTACATATGTAATTTAAAATTTTCAGTAAAATAAAATTTTCTAGTAGCCATATTTAAAATGTAAAAAAAGGAACAGGTAAATTAATAAAATATTTTATGATCCTAAACCATTATTGTGACATGTAATCAATGCAAAAAATTACTAATGAGGTATTTTATATTCTCTTGTTGCATTAAGTCTTTGAGATCCATCGCTTTCCACCGATAGAACATCTCAGTTTGGACCGGCCAGAGGTCAAGTACTCAGGAGCCACCTGACCCGTGGCTCTCGTTCAAACAATGCGGGTGCCCCCGCTCCTGCTCAGTGTGATGGCCTTGGCTTTGCTTTATCACACACAGGACAAGAAGCCACATCCCTCTAGGGACGGGACTCAGAACGATGGTGATTACACAGGATGAAGTGCTTTCTCATGTCACTGCCATACACGTGTGAAGACATTCTGCTCAGGGAAAGAAGCCAGACACAAAAGGATGATTATGATAGGACTCTATTTATATGACATGTCCAGAAGAGGCAAACCCATGGAGACAGAAAGTAGGTGAGCAGCTCCCAGGGGCAGGGGCTGGGGGAATGGGGAACGACCCCTTCATGGACCTGCGGGCTCTGACTAGGTGCCGAACATGTTCGAAAGACGACCACGGGGACGGCTGTATGACTGTGAATATAATAAAACCCACCGAAGCATTACCTTTAAAGGTGTAAATTGTGTGACATGTGAATTCTATCTTCCCAGTAAAACACTTACAAAACTAACTAACTAACTAACTAAATAGATAAATAAATAAAGGCATGGTGATATTACTCTGAAGGAATTATTTTATGGACATGGCAATATATGTAACTGTTGCATTTCCCTTTTTGCATGGACAGCCAGGAACCTCAAAGCCAAACATAGACCTGTTAAAGCATTCAGGGTCCAAATGGACATTTAGTTTATTAATTTTACACTAAGTTCCCTCTAGTTCTTTCTACCCTTCCTTTCCCTTTGCCCCCAGTTTCCTTACTTTCATCTTCAGAAGTTGGTTATAATACAAGTATTTTCTCAGCCACTTTAAAGCCCTTTGGGCAGAAGGCCAAGTGTATGGTTATAAATAGTGCTACGAACAACTCAGTTACTTGGACTCTTTGGTGAAAATATAAAAGCCCTTTGAGAAGAGACTGAGAATGGATGTCTGTAATGAATGAACTAAGAAAGCAGGAACATTTATCCTGAAGAGGAACAGGTAGAGTGGAGTTCTGCTATCCTTCCAGAATCCTGGAAGGGCTCAAAGTCTCCCCTGGGAAGGGGACCCAAGAGATACCTTCAAGCACAAGTGGAGGGAGTGTGATGAGACCCGACACCAAAAACGGGAGGGAACCCAGTGCTGAGTGACAAGGACGGGGCTCTAGCCCAAGTGGTCTCCAAGTGCAGGGAGAGGCGCACGTTTTGGGGATGGCCCATTTACCGCCCCCAGGGGAGGAACAAGGGAGCCCTGTGGAGAGCTTCTCACTCAAGCAGGCAGACACCCTGCTTTCTCCAGGTGAGTTGTGTTTCCCATGGGCAAAGCTGGAGATCCCCCTCACCTTGGCCATGAACCGGCGGGCCTGAGAGGCCAACTCCCGGGTCTGCTCTGCTGAGGGCTGGTCCTGGGTGATGCCTGGGTTCTCCAGAAGCCACGCTGGGGCAGACGAGGACGGGCTCAGGTCTCCTTGAGCAGACGGCCACCCTGGAATGCACAACCACTCAATGCTGGGGCCCAGAACAGTCCCTCCTGGGCCAGAGGGACTCACAGCCAACCTCAGAACCACACCTGCCATCATCTAGCTCCAACCATCATCTCGTGATCACACTATCCTCACGGGCTCTAGGATGCGGGAGGGCAGTGTAGTTCCAGGTACGGGGGAAGAACAAGGTCTGGATCTGCCCTAGATCTCACAGCTGGGGCCCAGAGAGGCCTCTGGTTTCCCAGTCAGTGGTTCAGGCTCTAACTCAGACAGACACCAGTTCACATCCCCACTGTCCCCTTCCTGCTGTGGCAGTGTGACCTTCAGCATGACCTCGCCTCTCTGAGCCTTGGTCTCCTTGACTCTCATTGGGGCCAATGTGAAGAATAACTGGGATCACGCATGGCAAGCCTTGGCACAGAGCCCAGCCCCAACGTGGGCTCCAGAGTGACAGGGCTCTCTGCAGCAGGGGGTCCAAGGTCACCCAATGCCAAGGGCACAGCAGAGCTTTCCCCAGGCTGCTCTGGCTCTAGGGAAGACACTTCCCACATCTGCATCTGACCTCTTCAAGTCAAAGGTCCCAGAGAAGGGTCTTGCCTCCCTCCCTGGCCTGACCTGAAGCCAGTGTCACCCCAAGGGGAACTAAGTGCCCCCAGAGCAGAGTCACAGGCAGAAGGCCCTCCAGCCCCACTGCATCTCCCACACTCACCTGAGGCCCCAGGGATCTGTGGGGCTTCGGCAGGGCCCAACCACCGCAGCACAGAGTGGGGTTGTGGGATGGTGAAGGACAAGACCTTGGTCCCCTGGGGCACCGTCCCTGTGTGGATGCTGTGGCTGGGCTGGGGCGGGTCCGAGTACAGGTTCACCTGTCCGGGAGGGGAGGCATGAGCAGAGTCAAGTCAGGGTTGGGGCAAACTCCTCAACAGGCCTCCCTTCACTCATACTCTCACTTAGGCACTCACAAACGTGCCTTGTAATAATTACTGCTACCTTTAGTGGAGCCCTTGGGTGGGGGCCAAACACAGGGCCAAGGACTTACAGGCCCTTCCATCCTCTGTTCATGGCAGTCCTGAAGGGGAGACCGGGCAAGGACTATCATCTCCATTTTACAGAAGAGGAAACTGAGACTCTGGTTAACTCACTCAAAATCTCCAGCTGGAAATCCTTGGGCTGAGACTATAACCCTGCCATGACCCTAAAGAACTCTGGTTTCCCAGATTAATCATTTTTACTAATATTTGTTACCATAATTTACAATGTAACTACAATTATAATTAATATGGCATTTCACATTTAGCAAGTATATTACAATTATATATTATTAATAAAAACATTTTTAATCATAAGTATCCCATTGATAATAATGACAATTAATGACTGTCTGAATGAGTGAGTAATCCAACACATGCACGAGGTCCTCTCTCAGCCGTGGCAGGTCTCCGTCATCTGAGGGTGGATTTCACATGGTAAACAGACCAGTGCGTGAGGGAGAAGTCTGGAATCGGGCCGACGGCCAAGCAGGTCCGTGTGAAGCACAAGATCAGAGGAGACCCAGGAACGGATGGTGGGCCAGTGCAGGGCTGGGCAGCTACGGTCTGTTTTGGTGAATTACGTTCTAGCAGACACAGCTGTGCTTGCTTATGTGTCATCTAGGGCCTTTCATGCTACCACAGTGGCCGTGAGTCGCTACCACAGAGACTGTATGGCCCACAAAGCTGAAAATATTCACCTGTGGGCTTTGCCACTGGCCACTCTGAGTCCTACAACAGGCGATTTAACAGACTTCTCTTTGCGCAGAGTGACTGCTCAATAACCATAAGCCACTACCCTCATATTTGTCCTCACCATTATGACTGCTGTTCCCATCATTACACATCACCCTCACTACCATCATCACCACCATCACTACCACCAGTATCACCCTTATCACCATCACCATCATCACCATCATCAACAGCACCACGATCACTATCATTATCACCATCACCACCATCACCATCACCACCACAATCACCATCATCATCACCATCATGATCATCACCATCACCACCACTATCACCATCACAATCATCACCATCACTACCATCATCACCATCACCATGATCTCCATCACCACCACCACCACCACCACCACCATTCTCTCCATTATCATCACAATTGTTATTTATGGGGCCATCATGGAGGCAGGTCCCTGGAAAAGCTCTTTCCCTGTGGTGCCTCAGTGCCTCCCAGCTGGTCAGACAGCTTATCTTACTGCTCCCTGCTGCCCCAGGGTCAGGCGTGGGCAGTTTAGGGTACACGTCTGATACACGGAGCTCCCTAGCCCCCAGGCAGGCAGCCTCTCCCTGCTTAAGCTGCTCTTCACGTCCTGGCTGTGGCACAAAAATCTACTCCAAAGTGAGGGACAATAGCCCAGCACAGCCTGGCCCCCATTGCCTCCCCCTCCTTCAGACCCAGCATCTGATGAGAACAAAGCTGGATTTTAATAATCCTCTCTGCCATCTGCTCAGACCCGCCTGTGGGGGCTTTCCCACTAGCACCCCTTTCCTCCCAGGGTGACCCAAATCTGGGGAAGGCCCAGGACCCCACCCTACCCCTCCCCCAGCTTCAGGCCCAGCCTACCCAGGCCCAACCTGGGGAGAAACAGGAACAGGAACCATTTCAGCAGAGGGGCCAAAAGCCCTTGCAGAGGCCTGGGAAGGTGGAGCTGGGGGGTGAGTGTGGGTAATTTGAAGTTGCTCTGGGGCCCGCCCTCTCCGGATCTGTCTCTGGACACAGCCACCACCCACCCCAGTGCCCCAGGGCACCCGTTTCAAGCCTGGGTGTCCCGTGGAGCTCCCTGAGGCCGAATTAGCTCCTTCAGGGGGGGTTAATCAGTGAACAGTAGACCAGCAACTGTGGGAAACAGGGGGTTAAATAATGGACTAGTCTTTGCACAGATGGGTTTCTCACAGCCTTTAAAATGCTAATGTGCTTTATGAATGGGGCAAGGAGGGGAGGGGGGAGTAGAGAGAAGAGGAAATATTCCCCCCACTCCTCTGAAGACTAATCTCCGTGCTCCCGCCCCCCACCTCCATCAGGGGCTCCTGGACCAGCCAGGTCAGCGGAACACACATTTTAGTAAGGGCAGTTTTATGTCAACCACCCCCCCCCAACTCTTTCTAGGGTAGTGTCTGGTCTCCTCAGCTCCTCCAGATGCCCCTGAAGCTGAGCGCAGGGACAGCAGCTGGGGGGAGGTGACAGTGTGGCAGCAAATCAGTGAGATCACCATCAACTCTGGCCCTGAGCTGTGGGAGGGAAGAGAGTCTGGCAGAGACTCAGGACCAGCACCGCCTCCCTGCCCTACCCCCAGTCCAGTTTCAGGGGTGTCCCCAGGCCAGGCCTTGGGACTCCCTGCCAGCCTCCCCAGCTGTAGGGACCATTGCCTAGTCTGGTTCTGCTAGAGAAGGTGGGGTTAATAGTGGGCTCACGAGCCATACTGCTGGGCTCGAGCCCCAGTTCCGGCACCTGCTGGTTGGGCGATGGGCAAATATTCTTATCTGCCCCGTGCCTCAGTTTCCCCAGTGGTAAATAACTCAGGACAGCGTTCCGTAAACATCTCTGTATCACTGCTGTTATCATCACTATTAACATCGTCATTCTGCCTTGTCCCTGTGCCTCCGCCACATGCCCAGCCCAGGATCCCAAATCCTGCCCACCCAGGCATGGGGAGAAGAGCACCCACTCTGGAATCAGGCAGACATAGGTTTAATCTCCAACTTTAAATCCCTTCCCAGCTGAGGGGTTGAACAAACCACGGCCTGGCTGTGCCTCAGTTTTCTCTTGTGTGGATCAAAGGAGATGACCCTGGTAATACTTAGCCAGGGGCCTGGTGTCTTTTTACCACTTAGTACCTGCCGGTCCCTTTCCCCCAGGTCTCCACCCATCGCTGCCCACCCACTGCTGGCCTGCTTGGTTCCCTCCCACGTGGGTCCACCCCTTCCCCTTGGGCTCTGAGCAGATAGGGGGTGGCACTGAGCAGGTCCCTGGGGGGTTCACTCCCACCAGGTTAGTCTGAAGGAGCAGTAAGACTTCTGTCTCCACCAACCAGCCTCCCTGGCAAGGGCTCTGAGCTGGAAGCAACACCGCAGTCTCCCTATGTCTTCAGGGTAGAGTCTACAGAGCTGGGGACAGGGTGAAAAGCCCAGCTGGGAAGCCAGGACCCCTCCCCCCGGACCCGGTGGGACTGTGCCAGTCCCTCCCCAGCTGGGCTCCATGTCCTCTTGAGCCCACCGGGACAGTAAGCCCTGCCTGTATGGCCGCACCAGGGCAGCTGTGAGACTAGGGGACTGGGAGAGAATCATCCTGCTTCTGGAAGAGGCTAGCTGACCCATGCTCACCATTCTCTTGAGGAGCACCCCCAAACTAAGGAGTCATTCTTCAAGAAAGTCAGAGTGGGTGAGCTGGTACTGAACCATTCCTAGCCTCTCCCATCTTCCCTCCTAAGCTCCTCTCACAAATAAGAGATGGGTCTGGGTATCAGTTGGGACAAGGTGACCGTCCATGGGGAGACTTCGGGTCCCCACCGGGTTGTGCTCCCATGGTGTCCACGCCTGCCCACGCCTGCACGGTGCTTGGCGCACATGGGCGCCCAATAAACACCTTCATATTAATAATATTCAAAAGAAGAATCGTCCCCATGTCTTTGGAAGTATTTGCCAGGGTCTGGTATGCGAATTCCATACACTGACTCACTCTCTAAACTGAGTAAAGGAGGAAGCAAGGAGAAGAGGGACGGAGGAGGTGCTCCAAGGTCCTGCCCCTGACCTTGAACTCTGACAGCCTCTGCTGCTGCTGGGGACCCAAGTCCCAATTTGTTAGATGGGGGAGCTGCGAGTTCGGATTTAATGGCCGGTTCCTTTCTCCACGGAGCTTCTAGGAGTCTGCAGCCATGTGCACATGGTTCCCCAGGGAGGACGCCTCACCATGCCCCACCTAGGTCTCCCCAACTCCCCTGCCCTTCCAACCCGCCTCTGGCTCCGTGCTTCATGCAGCTGTAAGGAGCCTTAAGACATTAGGCGGGACACACCAGCTCCCAGGAGGAAGGTCTGATTAACCCCCTTTTGCCTGAAGGCGGCCAGGATGGAAGGGATCTACCTGGTCCAGACAGGTGTGGGGACTCAGGAGAACTGCTCCCAGAACAGGACCTCCATTTTCTTATCAGGGCTGCCTCAGACACACGTCACAGAAGTGCCTCTGGAGGCTTGAGACTAACCTGTGGCAGGGGAGGGGTCCTGGAGCGTGACAGGGACAGGCCAGGTGGGGGCCCTGAGACAGCAGGCAAGGGTGAGGGAAGGTCTGCCTCTCCACCCCTCAGCTCCCAGCCCCTCCTCCACTGTGGCCTGATGGGGCAAGAGGGGGGCAGGGGAAGCAGGAAGCCACCAGGGGCAGCGACAGGCCCCACTTCCTGCCTCAGCCCCAGAAAGGGGAAGGTCCCAAGTGAGAATTCACAGCCTCCTCCCCAGGCAGGGTGCGGGCTGAGCAGGATGGGTGTGGATGGATTTCCCCCTCCTCACTTGCTCTGCTACACACTGGACATTCAATCAGTGGGGGAGCATGAGTGAGCATGAACCATTCTGGAAGGATCAGACCTAAGAAATAAGCTCCAGGAGCTGAGCAGAAACTCCGTGCTACTCCCTTGAGGTTCAGAGAGCCCAAGAAACTTGTGCGGGGTCACAGAGCTGGTCAGTAATGGAGCCAGGAGCAGAGCCCAAGTGGTCTGACCCCAGACCTGGTGAAAATCCTGGAAACCCGGATTCTAGGATTCAACGACATCAAAGTTCATCAATGTTGAAGGAGATGGAGCCCAGAGAGGGCAATGTCAATGCCCAAGGTCACAGAGGGACCCTGTGTTAGACTAAGGATTGGGTTCTTGTATCTCCAGGGCCTTAGGAGGCAGGAGCAAAGACTGTGGGGGAGTGTCATCTCTCGGGGGCCAGACCCCCCACCTCCACCCTACCCCAACCAGTACCTTGGCCCCAAGGCGCAGCTGGTCAATGGTGTTCTCAGCCTCGGCGTACTTGGTGAGGAGCTTGTGGTAGTCCTCCTGCAGGAAAGGGAGAGCAACAGGGTCATGCGCCCACGCCCCTCACCAGGAGACCCCTCCCAGGAGCCCAGCCCCCCAAGGGTTCCTCAGAGTGTCAGAGCTCAGAGGTGGGAGCTAAGCAGAAGCCCTCAGGCTCACGTGCCACACACACCCCCGTGGCCAAATTCGGAGTGGGAGAGGAGGTAGGACAGCCTGCTAACCTCCCCGACCGCCCATCAGGGATGAGGGCCTCTGGGCTGGTTTACCTTGATGCATCACCCATCCCAGGGACTGCAACTCCCTGCTCATCTGTCCTAATTCCCTGCCGTCTGTCACCTCTGGGGGCTGAGGCCCACATCCGTCTTCCCCACGGCTCTGGTCCCCGCACGTCCGGAGCCTGTGCTTCCTAAGTGGCTTTTTAATGGCGGATGGAATGAATCATCCAAGGGTCCCGTAGAAGACTTGGGAATCGCATTTGCTCAGTCACTACTTGCCCTCAACTAAACTGAACAGCTTCGTCACACAAGTCACGGCAGGGAAAAGGCAGAAACAAATGGCACCCCCGCTTCTGAAGGACGTCGAAGAACAGAGACACGGGTCTGAAAACCCTTAATTAGAAGAACAGACTCAAGCGTTTCTCCCGTGTTTCCCATAGGAACAAGACCTTGATAACCAAATAGTCAATGAGAGAAAATTTTACTTTAGAGAAGAACTCCAGCAAGTGAATGCAGGAGGAATGACAGCATTAGGATACTATCACTTTGTCACTGCCAAAGGGAGGACTGGATCAAGGCCATGGCCATCGGTGGCTGCAGATATCACAAATGAGAGATGAGCAAGAATCCCAAGAATCCTGCGCCTCCTGAATGAAACACCTGTGACATGCTCTTACCAAAAAAAAAAAAAGCCCCTAGCCACATGGAGCCGGTGGTCTGGAGGGGACATGCACAGAGGGTTGCAAGCCCCAAAAGCTTCGAGCTCTAGACGGACAACATGCAGGACAAGGAGAGGACAGTGGAACGTAGGAGAGAGATAAGATGGTGTGTCAGCAAACTCCAGAATGTGGGGGACTCTGCTGGACAGAACTGGTTTCCTCAACAAATACACCAAAAGGAAGGAGGAGATTTGGAAAAAAAAAACAACAGGGGTGGGATTGGGGAGACTTGAAAGGCACATCGAGGGGCACCTGGGTGGCTCAGTGGGTTAAAGCCTCTGCCTTTGGCTCAGGTCATGATCCCAGTGTCCTGGGATGGGGCCCCACATCGGGCTCTCTGCTCAGCAGGGAACCTGCTTCCACCTCTCTCTCTCTGCCTGCTTCTCTGCCTACTTGCTATCTCTGTCATGTAAATAGATTAAAAATCTTTAAAAAAAAAAAAAAAAAGAAAGGCACATCGATCACAAGCAACAGATGAGCCGTGTTTGACCATGATTCGAACCAACTGAAATGAACAAGGCATTTATGAGACACAATCAGAACACAGACTGGAAACTGAGTAATAGTAGGGAACTGGTATCGGCTTCTAGATAAGCTGATGGGATCGCCACGTTCCAGAGAGCGTGCCAGTCTTCAGACATACACACTAAAATATTTCTAGGTAAGATGATCTGAGGCCTGAAATTTGCTTCAAAATATTCCAGTATGGTGAGAGGGGGAAGAGAGGAGGCCACAGGTAAAAAAGGTTGGTGGGGGCTGGGTGGCAGGTACATGGGGGTTCATTAGACCATTTTCCTGTCATGTATACGATTTGATTTTCTCACAGCAGAAGTTAAAAATAAGCACCGGATTATCCTTGTGGCATGAGTGTAAGCACTGCTCTTTTTTTGAGCAAAGAGCTTAGGAACCAGCTTGGGTACAACCCTTGCTCTACCAGCAGGGGATTCCTGGCCTAGTCCTAAGACTTCCTACCGGAATGGCCTCGAACCTTGGGCCAAGTACCTTGGTGACATGCCTATAGACAGGAGACCAGCTTACCTGGAGCTGATGGACCAGCTTGGTGGCTTGCTCAGGTGTCTGAAATTCTTGGGGTACCCTGGTGATGGGGTGTGTAGCAGGTGGGTCCTTGGCCGGGCAGGTTTCTCCGCTGCTCAGCAGAACCTCCTGCACGATCTCAGCAGGAGACTTGAAGATCAGCGGCCTGGCAGGGCCCTGGGGCTGCCTGCTGTGGTTCCTGGCCTTGGGGGGGTGGTAGCTCTCATCTTTGGGGAACCTTACCCGGGGTCCCACCTTGGAGAAATCAGGGAGTGGGTAGTTCAGCTGCCCCCGCCCATACTTGGAGGCATCAGAAGATGAATGGGCAGCCAGAGTGGCTCCCTGCCTGGGCGGCAGCCTGTCTTGCCGGCCTGACCTAGGCGGATTCAGGGGGCTGACAGAGCCAGTGAATCGAGAAGGGAGTGTCTTAGGGGATGTCCGTGTCCGTTTCCAGGCTTCGTCCCCCAACTGAGGGTAGGAGAGGCTGGTACTTTCTTTCCACTTATCTGCTGGACCCTGGAGGCTCTGGGCCTGGGGTACTGAGGAGTCTTGGAATTCTGTGGGGGTTGCCAGAGCAACACTTCCTCCAGTGCTGGTGTTTGGGCTTAGGAGGTGGTGACTGGAGTTTTGCGGTAAGGTTTCTGCCAGGCCAGCGGGCTGGGGGACATCAGTTTCTCCTTCCCAGGTAGAATCAAGGCTGTCATTGGGGTGGTCGAGGCTCACGGTCCCACTGCTCCAGGACCTTGAAGAGCTGAGGTCGACAGTTGGGTTGTCCTCAGAATGTTCTGGATGTTTGTCTCCACTGGCTTGTTTGCCAGAGGCCACCCAGCCCATGTCCTGACCCCATCCCAGAGCCCTGGGGCTGGTGTTTCCATTGCCCCCTGAGCTGAGACCAGTCTCATACTCCAATCTTGGGGAACTGTCTCCAGCTTCCTCCACCTCAGGACCTCCAAGGGTTTCCTCCAGCAACTCTTCAGTCATGGCCAGGTGAGGATCCTGCTCGGGCAGCCAGTTGAGAGGCAAGCTGGAACTTTCTGGGCTGTCCACATTCTCTGCTTCAAACTCTGGAAAGACAGGTCACTGCTCAGGATACACCAGGTCTGGACTCACTGTGTAACATTCCCAGAGTTACTTCACCCCTCTGGGCCTTCATTTCCTCATCCTACAGTGATGGCAAGAATCCCAGTGATTCCCGCTCCCCCTCCCCCCTCCATATGGCCAAGTACTTACCTAGCACCTCCTCTAGTTGTCCCCAGTCCTCCAAACCTGATCCTCAAACCTGGCTATCCCTCACTATTTCCCATCTCAGCAAATGGAAACACCATCCCATCCAGTTGCACAAGCCAGAAGCTTGGACAGCACCTTGGCCATCACTCCCCCCACCCCCACCCAATCCCTATAATCCATTCTGTCCCCTGATCCTGTCAAGATCACCTCCTACAGAGCTCTTGGACTCACCTAGTGCTCTTAGTCCTGCACTACCTTTGCTCTAGCCAGCATCCTCTCTTGCCTGGACTATTGCAGTAGCCACCTAATGATCTCCTTAATCCTCATCCTCATCCTCCATCTGAAGACTAAGCAATATTGTCCTGTTCCCAGGACAGAGTGTGGTCCTAAGACCCCTGTCTCCATACCCCATTAGCTCTCCTAATCCATCTCTTTTCTCCGGTCCCCCTCAGTCTCTCCCTGCTCTAGCCATTCCACATTGCTCCAGCCACAGGGCTTTGTCATACTCATCTCTCTGCCAGGGTCCTCTCTCCCTCCCCTTACCTTGTTAACTCCTAACTGTCCTTCAGGCATTAGCTCAACCTTGACCTCATCAGGGAAATCTCAGATCTCCTAACGAGGTCAGATTCTCCCTTGTACAGGTTTTCATAGGACTTAATACCTTTACTTTGAAACACTTATCATAGCTCCAGTTCTCCATTTGTTTTCATGATTGTTTCATTAACATCTGTCTCCCCCACTACACTGTAATCTCCATGGTGGCAAGGATACCCTCCGTTTTTGTTTACTAGTGTATTTGCAGAGCTGGTGCTCAGTATTTGTTGACTGAATGGAAAGAAGGAAAAGAACAAGGCTGGGAGGACAATATGATCAAAAAGTATCCATCCACCCATCCATTCACTATGCTTCCAACCATGTACCCACCCATCACCCATTCACCCATTGATCCAACCATCCACCCACCCACTCACCCATCCATTACCCACCCACCCATTCATGCATGCTTCTAAGCATCATTCACTCAGTCAGTGTTTACTGAGCACCTACTTTGTCCTAGAACCTATGTCAGCCTCTGGGATAGATCCAAAGTTTCATGAGACACACCTTTGTCATCACCCCTGTATCTCTCTACTTCTCTGCAGCCTTTCTCCTAGCACCTCTACATCCTCCGACTCCTTAAAATCTCCTGAAAACAAGTCTCTCTTGTTTATAGTGCACAGAGGTTAGGTAACTAGCCCAGGAACATGCAGCGGTTCACAGCAACCCTGGACTCAGGACAAAGGTCCCACCCATGCTGGCAAGTTAGTCTCTGTAGCGGGGGTCATGCGGCACGATGGGGAAAACAGGCTTTGGAGCCAGGGAGCCCTGGATTCAGTCTTGGGCCCTCTGATCCCTTTCTGGCGACCAGGGGCAGGTTGCTGACCTCTCTCACAACCCTTAACTTGGACCTGAGGCTAGTCCCTCCTACCTGGCAGAAGATGGTGAGGAGGGAAGGAGACACAGCTTGCATCCTGCTCAGCCCTGCGCCTGGCACACAGTAAGGACGCTGGCAGTGGCTATTATGTCATAGCAAGGGGTTACCATGTGACCTTAGAAAGAGATGCCTCTGCCCTTTCCTCCCAGCATGTGAAAGTCACCTCGCCCTGATGGGTTGGAAGTGGCTCCTGAGCAGGTAGTGGTAGGCAAGTCCTGCTTTAAGCCGACCTGACAGAAAGAACTCTGGGTCATGTCACAATCTGCTACCAGCCTAATGCCTTCTCTCTCCACCGTGCACCGGGGCCTACACCATTCACAGAACCCAAAGTTGGAGGATTTCACGTCTGTGTTTTAAGTGTGACTGGAACCACATGATCAAGCTCGAGCTGTTCTCAGTGGTACTGCTGCTCCTGTTTCACAGATGGGCAAACCGAGATTCAGAGACAAGGGACTGCTCGGCAAAATTAGGAATTTAGTCTGAGCTGCTCTCCATGCAAGGGAAACGCTCATTCTAGAAGACACGGCATAGCTCCATTGTCATTTGCTAACTGGGATTTTTAGAAGATCTTCAAAATGGACATAACCCTGGGACCAAGCAGTTTAAATGACCAAGGCTATTAGCACATCACATGGGCAAAGATGTACTAATGATATTCATCTCTGCATTTTTTATGACAGCAAGAGTTTGGCCCTCAAAGTACAGACTATCCACCCCATGGAATTGCTTGCATGCATTAAGAATGACTTGTGGAGGGAGAGAAGAAGAGCTGGGAAGATGTTCATGTCTATTAAGTTGCAAAAAAAAAGCAGGTTACCCTTGCGTTTGTAGAGTACTATTCCATTTCCATTTGCATATTACGTTTGCATACATGCATATAGAAAAGAGCAGTTATCTGGATAATAAGTAAATTTTTCTGTTTTCGCTTTCATATTCGCTGATTTTTCTGCATTGAACATTACAACTTATATAATTCAAATCATTCAAAATTTTAAATTATAGGCTTTATGGATTTTAATCTTAAAAAAAACACCCTCCACTCCCCATCTCCCACCAGAAGGTGGGATATTCAGCTCCCTGTGGGGTGGGGTAGGGGGAGGTCAGTCTCACCCTCTCCCGCAGACTCTCCCGATTCGGAATCCTGGCTGTCAGCAGCCCGCGGGTCCCACTCCAGCGGCTGAAGGCACTGCTGGGCCAGCCGGAAGTCTTCCAGGAGCTCGGGGCTGGTGGCATTGGGAAAGGCCCCCTCTTTTCCCTCGCTCCCCTTGGCATCCTTTTCCTCTTCAGCCCAGGCCCAGCGCCGCCGCTGGGGCCCCCTCCCCAGGCCCAGCTCGGGCCAGCGCACCTCCGTCCTGGAGCTGGCCATGGGACCTAGCCTGGGCTTCACCTGGGCCACCTCATCTTCAGGAGACAGAGCTGCCACTGCGGGCGCCTCAGTCACCGCCAGCTTCTCTCAGTACCGGCCATCCTACCTGCTGCCTGTGGGAGACACAATCAAGGGACAGCATCATTCTTTCAGTCCCCGCCCAGCTTCGAGCAGGTTACCAACAGGAACACTGGGATGCAACAGCCCTGGAGCACCTGCTGGCTCCAGCCCACGAAAGCAGTGCGACCTTGGGCAAGTCACACCACCTTCAGTTTCTTTAGCAAAACCTGGAGCTCAATTACTTGAGATACAGGGTCAGGAGCCAGAGGCTGGCCCCGGCAAGAGCTCTGGGTCCAGGGGTGTGCTAGGGATTGTCACTGTGTCCCAGGCTCCATGCATGTGCTGGGACAGAGAGCCCAGGAGGGAGCAGACAAACAGGCAGCGACTACAAATTAAGGTGAGCACGACAGGGACACATGGGGACACTGTGGGAGGGGGCAGAGTAGGCTTAGGAAGCAGGCAAGGCTTAGTCCAGGGAGCCTTCCCTAACCACCGATGGGTAAGAATGCAGACTGGGAGGGGGGTGAAGAAAACATTCCAGTACTCCAAATAATTGAAAACAGGTACTCAAACCAACACACACTCACACACACACACACATTCAGAGCAGCACTATTTGCAACAGCCCAAGGCGGGGAATGGTCCAAATGTGGATGGGCAGATGCATGGATAAACACTGTGGGGTACACGTGAGACCTAACAGTGCTCAGCCACAGAAAGGAAAGAAGGGCTGGGACTCACCACCACGGGGATAAACCTGAACAACATTAGGAGAGGAGAAAAGAAGCCAGGCACAGAAGGTCACTTGTAGTAGGATTCCGTTTCTATGAAATACCCAGAACAGGTAAATCCATCGAGACAGAGAGCCAGCTGACAGTTCCCAGGGGCTGGGGGAGGCGGGATGGGGAGTGACTGTTTGATGGGTATGAGTTTTCCTTGTGGGGTGCTGCAAATGTTTTGGAACTGGATATAGGTTGTGGTTGTACAACACTATACATATGCTAAATGAATTGTTTCTTTAAAAATCGTTAATTTCATGGCATGTTAATTTCACCTAAATTAAAAAAAAAAGAGAGAGAGAGAGAGCATGTCCAGGCAGGGGCGTCCCAGGCACCATGGAGGCAGGAGGGGGTGAGGCAGGAGGGGGTGACACAGCAGTGGTGTCCCCCATAGCTGTGGGGGTGGGACAAGGCCTCCGCTCTGACAGCGGAGCGTGGGCAAGAAGAGATGGTGGCCAGAGCCAGGAGGGCCTCTCAGGTCCCCTTCAGCACATCCCACCCTCGGGACAGCATACCAGAGCTGCTGCTGAGAAGTTTCTTTTTGACTATTTGGGGAGAAGGAACCGGAAGAGGGAGTCTGGCTGCGGAGGGACCTTCTTCCCTCTATCCTCTCTTCCTTTTCCTCTTTTCCTTCACTCTCTCTCTTCTCCCATCACCTTTCTTTCCCAGCCCCGTGCTATGGCCAACACTTCCCAAGCCCCCAGACCACAGAGCAGCGGCATGGACCCTCCCAGAAGCTCCAGGTTAGCTCATACAAAAGCTTGACTCTGCAAGTGGGAAAACGGAGGCCCAGACAGCAGCGGCCCATACCCAAAGCCACTCACTGGGCACGATAAGGCTGGGGTCAGGCCCGGGCTCTTCCCTCCATACTGTGGAGACAGTGGTCTATGATCCTAGGCCTCCCTGGAGGACAGATAGGTCTGTGTCCCTGCAGCCTCGTGAACACTTAGGGCCTTGGTGAGGGCCTTGATTTACACAGTTGAGAAAAGTCAGCAGGCAACTATTTCTGGATCGAAAGTTCCCTGGGCAACAGTGCATCACTGGGAAGGCTGCAGCCTTCTCAAGGACGGGGGTGGGGACAGGGAGGGAATCACATTGCATGGCCTCTGGCCGCAACTTCTGTGCCTGCAGCAGGCCTGGAGGGAGGGGTGGCTCATGCCCTCCCCAGCACCCAGTCTTCCTCCCTGCCCCCGCAGAATTGCCCCCTACCACAGATGCTGTGCCCACTCTGTGCCAGCCTGCATGTTCTCCACCTGCCCTCAACCCAAAAGGGGAAGCAGGTTGCAGGAAAAGTATTTTTCAGAAGAGAAAACTGAAGCCTGGCCTTGGAACAGTGACTTGGCCAAGATCACCCAGCTGGTTAGCAACAGAGCAAGATCGGAAACTATTCATCTGGGCCAGTCATCTCCAATTTTCTGTCACAACACTCACCAGAAACCTGTATTTACTCTCATCTCCTCTCTCTACAGATATCTGATACCTTTATATATATGCATCCTCGTGCTGGTGTATGAGAAAAAAATACAGGTATTAGGAAAAATATATCCAAGATAACTTCTTTAAAAAGATGGAATAATTGGGGCGCCTGGGTGGCTCAGTGGGTTAAGCCGCTGCCTTTGGCTCGGGTCATGATCTCAGGGTTCTGGGATCGAAGCCCCGCGTCGGGCTCTTTGCTCATCAGGGAGTCTGCTTCCCTTCCTCTCTCTCTGCCTGCCTCTCTGCCTGCTTGTGATTTCTGTCTGTCAAATAAATAAATAAAATCTTAATAAATAAATAAATAAATAAAAAGATGGAATAATAAATAAATCTTTTAAGGAGAAGCTCTAATCCTTGCTTCCCATACCATCTGGGGGGTCTGCACCCTTCTCGGGAATCCCTGCCAGTGGGCCGATAACTCGAGTGTTCTTAAGAATTCTCTAAAAATGCAGGGGCACCTGGGTGACTCAGTTGGTAAAGCACCTGCCTTCAGCTCGGGTCATGATCTCAGGGTTCTGGGATCGAGTCCCAAATTGGGCTCCCTGCTCAGTGGGGAGCCTGCTTCTCCCTCTGCCTACTGCTCCCCCTGCTTGTGCTCTTTCTCTCTGACAAATAAATAAACTCCTTAAAAAAAAAAAATCCCTAAGAATGCAGATTCCTAGGGTTGACCCCAAGAGAGCCAGACTCAGTGGCCCTGGGATAGGGACCAGGAATCGGCATTTAAGTGAACACGGCAGGTGAGGCCCACACTCTAGGGCAGGGTAGGCCTTCCGGGCCCTGCTACTTGGGGAGGTGTGGGAGGTGCTAAGAGCCGCTTTTCTCTTCCTGAAATCTCCACAGAGGAAGGGGCTGGGGAGGCATGTGGTTTTTTGACTTTTAGGGCTTTTTTTCTAGCCATGCCACAAAGCTGGTGGCCCAATCACAGGGGCCTCTGGGTGCACAAAGAGGAACATCCTGTCTCCTGGGATGACTCAGTCCTCGCTGAAACTTGGTGCGCGGCAGAGGCAGCTGCGGTCACCAGCTGGAGTTGTGCGCATGCTCCCCAGGCCCTGAAACCTGTGAGCCCCCCGGGGGCAGGGCCTCTCTGTCTTCTGTGCAAGCCATGGCCCTCAGGGCCAGGGAGCCCAGGGCCCAGCCCCCCAGTCAGCGGGTCACTCAACAAACACACTCGGGGGCCAATTACAGCCCATCCTCAGGCTGGGATGAGGACACGCCCTCGCTGTGTCCTCGCCCTTGCGGCCAAGAAAGAGAAGTCGCAGAGTACGTGGAGACCAGGTTCCAGGTCTGGTGCTCTTGCTTCCTCGTCAACCGCTGTGCTGAACCTCCCCTCACTGGAAGATGGGGAGAGCACCGCCCCCTAGCTCTGGCTTCTACAAGGAGTTACTGCCCCGTGAGCGTGGGCTGGGTGGTGGCTGAATGAACTTTGAGGTTCCTGGTTGACCGTGACCCCCAAGGGCAACAGCTTCAGAGCTGTTCACTCCCTCCTCCATCCTGAGGACCCACTACAGAGTCACCAAGATGTATACTGAACACCCAGTGCGTGCAAATTAATTTAAAAAAACCCATGACCTTCCGCTATGTGCCAAGCCCTCTGAAGACGTCAGAAATACTGATATGGGCCAAAGTGTCCCAAGGTTTCAACCTGGGGGCTGGGTAACAATACAGAGGGTTATATGAAGGAACCATGAAGCTGGGCAAAGAGGATCTGGGGGGAGAAGAATGGGGAAAGGCATTCCAGGCAGAGGGAACAGCACAGGCAAAGGCACTGAGGTCTGAACCTGAACATATGAAGGGAACTTGACAGCTACGGCCTGGGCTTCTTGAATGGCAGTCAAAGGCTCAGCTGCTCCTGAAAGGCAGTGGGGTTGGGTGAAGGCCCTAGCCATATGAACTGGGGCCTGAACCCGAAAAAGCCCCGTGAGCACTAAATCCCCCCAGGCACTGGGCTGTTAGGATAAGGGTCCCCACCTGCCTTCAAGAACCTAGCCCCCCAGGGAAGCACCGACCACTCCCTCCTCCTTTTGTATGGCTCCTCTCTCCCCACCACTGGCCCTGCCTCCAGCAGTCCCAAGGGACTTCGAGCCCCTTCTGGTCTCTTTCTCCCGTTCCCAAGTGGGTCTGCACCCCCCCACCCCCTACAGGGCTTCTCTGGCCCCCCTCAGCCGCTCCAAAATGAGGCCCTCTGTCTTTGTGGCTCAATCTCTCAGGTTGTCCTACACCAACCGCAGCCAGGCAGCCTGGCTTTGCCTCCCCGTGCCTTCTGGAACCCCCTTCCAATCCAGCCAAGGTTGTGCAGGGGGCCCCTTTTCTGCTCCCACCTCAACCCTGACATCTCCCAGATGAGAAAACGGAGTTGTAGAGAGGTGGCTGGCTCTCACAAGATCTTGGGGACAGGAAGGGCAGCTCAGGGATTCAAACCCAGGGGCTATGACTCTGAAACCAAGTCCATGAGACTTGTGGGGAGGATGAGAGGAAGGGGAAGGAAGAGTCCCCACAGCAAGTGACTGGGCCCCTCTAAAAAGGCTGAGCTCAGAGCCCCAAACTCAGCTGCCCTCCCTGAGCAGCTGGCTGGGCACAGACCTACTGTTCTCAAGGGGTTCCCGCCAAAAACTAGTCCCTTGGGGAAGCTCCAGCCCCTCCTCCCCTCCAGATGTACCCCCTCCTGCCCCAAGCTGTCTCCTCACATCAGAGGCCAAGGAGAAAGAGGAAAGGTGCCCTGGCCGCTGCGGACTCTATCCTCGCCGGCCTCAAGAACTCCCCTTGGGGTGTGGCAGATGGGGCCTCTCTTTAGTGGGGACCCCCACCCCCGCAGCTCCTCATCCGAGCATCATCTCTCAGACCCCTCAGCAGCCCGAGGACCAACTCTCCATGTGCTGATTAGGACGCCGTAGGCATAGCAGGGGACTAGCGCCCGTCCAGGTCCCCAGAGGTCAGAATCAGGGCTCGGATGGGGATCTAGCGCCAGGAAGCTTGATGAAATCCCCCGAAAATCCACCCGTGCCCAGGGCGCCAGACGCCCTAAACTGCGAAAGAAGTAGTAACAGCTGCCACAGCTGTAACTTCCTGGCTGGGCTGGTCCAGACTGTCCCAGAGAGTCTGTGACTGGCCAGTCCGGAGGGAAGGCGGCCTCCCCGGCCCGCCTGGCGCCCTTACCTCTCTCGGGCTCCACCACCATCCTGCTGGCCCAGGCTCAGGGGACCTGCCTGTGAGGTCTTTGTTCCAAACCTGGGGAGCCCCCTGCCTCCATGGCGCCCTGGCCCGCCTCCAGGCCACTCTGCCAGCCCCGGCTGCTGCTGCTCACACACAAGCATCGCTCCCCACCTCTCCCCGCCCCTGCTGCGGCTGAGGCGGCCTCGCCTGGGCAGGAAGCGCCCAGCCTGATTTCCTACAAGTGTTTGTCAGAAGGAGGGGGTTTGTCTGCGTGCTGCCTGAGAGTCAGCGGGAGGAGCTTAACCCCTTGCAGGCCCTCTGCGGGTCTGGCTGCCCTGGCAAGGACTCCGGGGGTCTCCCCAAGTCAGGGATCGGGACCATCTCGGCCGAAGTACTGACTGACGAGACCGAAGTCCGGAGAAGGTCAGCAGTTTGGCCAAAGTCACACACAGCATGCCGAGCCTGGAAGGAGGCCTCTAGCAGCTTCGACCTCCTAGGAGCTTTTTCTGCAGCCTCTCCCCTCGAGGGCATGGCCTGGGCTAAGGCTCTCTCTGTCACCAGGCCTCCGTGCTCATCTGTAGAATGGGAGCTCAGACCAGATGCTTCTGCTCTTTCTGTCCCACCTACCATTGTGCAACCCAACATCTTAGGGAGGCTGCAGCCATACCTGCCATCCCACCCACTGTCCTCACCCCCAAGCTGGGCCTGTAGCTACTGTGAGATTTTGTAGGCAGCACTGGAGGTGGGGGATTGACTGACGAGCCGAATTTCTCCTGTTGTCCCAGGACTTCTCAGAGGGCAGGCTCCCTTTTCCCAAGCTTCCATCACCCATTCATTCATTAGACAGGTAATTGTTGAGCTATTCTGCTGGGCGCTTGCCAAGGTGTTGGGAACACGGCAAGATACAGGATAGGCTGAGTCCTTGCTCCACTCTCAACAGAAACACAGGACAACATAAAACAAACGTGGAGGGAGGTAAGGACAAGACCCACAAGGGTGGGTTGGAGTGGAGATCCGTGTCCCAGGCCGCTTTTTGTGATCCTGATGCCTGAGGCCCATCCAGACCAACAGTCTCCAGGCATCAGCAATTTGAAAGTGTCCCAGCTGGATTGGGATATGTGGCCCAGGTTGAGAATCTGTGGGTCAGAGAGTAGCGGGTTGGAGAGGAGGGTTTGGGGATGACTAGGAAGGTCTCAGTGAAAAGGTGACATTCAAACAAGGGACTGAAGGAAGAGAGGGGCAGGAGTGAGCCCCAGAAAGAGCTGGAAGCAGAGTCTTCGGTAGGGCAAGTGCAAAGGGCAAGGTGGGAACCAGCTGCGCCATCCCTGAGAACAGCAAGGCTGTGTACCCAGAGCAGAGGGAACCAGGGGGGAGAGGCAGGAGCAGGGGTGGAGGGGCAGGCTCAGGGTCTTGGCCCCCCATGCCTCCCAGCTGTTTTTTCATCTGTAAGACAAGGATAAGAAGGACCGCTGCCGCGATTGTCTGAGGTCACTCCTGCTACGTGCAGAGCTGGGGGCCCTGGAACACGAGTGAGTGAATGAACAGCTTTTTTCAAGGTCAGTTTGTGAGTATGTGGCAAAGCCAGGGCTAGAACCTGGTGCCCTCATCACATCAGTCAACCCATCCCTCCCCCCACTCCCTGCCTTCTTCCCACATCTGGGTGGCGAGGCTCTACCAGCAGCCCCTAGCCCAGCGTGGAGCAGAGCCAAACCCTAACGAGGCCCCTCCCCGTCAGCTCTGGTGACCGTGTGGGTCTTTGTGTGAGGGGCGGGCTCCCCTGACGGGCCTGTCGCTCACTCACCCTCCATCCCCGGTCATTAACCCAGGCAGCCCCCCATCAACCCAGCAACACCAGGTGGCTGCCGCAGCCGGGCACGCCCCACGGCCCCTGGATGCCCCAAACCCTAAGACCGACTGTCATTCTGGACCTTTTCCTCTCTTACACCCCATAATCCCATCCATCATCGATTCCTCAGTCTCCCCAGAACCCGCCCCACCCCTGCATCCCTGCAAGCCTCCTGCAACAGCCTCTCCCGGGAAGCCCTGGGGTCCTTCCAATCCACACACTGCATCACTCGGATGGTTCCAAAACAGAAGCGTGCAAACGTGGTCCATCTGGGCTTAAAAACCCTCCACTCCTGCCCCACTGCTCCGAGAAAACCCATGATGGAGGCGCCTCTCCAGCCTCTTCCCCGCTCTCCCCTCTCCTCAGTGCGCTCCTTGCTGATGCTGGGACAAACACATGGCGCTCCCCTTCATCATCGGACCCCACTTCTTCCTGGGAATTTGCAGGCGACCTATGGATCTCAGCCCCACGGGGACCGTATGGGAATTAGACCTCGGGTCTTTCTGGCACTTGGGAGCTCCCAGCACCCAACAACAGCGCCTGCCACATGGCAAAAGCACAGCAGATACATGCTGGGTCATCTACTGACTCTAGCCTGTCGCCCAAGGCTGGCTGTGGCCCTCACATCCTTGGCAGACTGGTGTGACGTCCCCATTTTACAGGTGGGTAAACAGAGGCCTGGAGAACCTGAGAGACTTGCCTGCTGTCACAAAGCTGGGGAGTTCCGGTGAAGATTGAAGCATACAAAGCTCTGCCTCTTAACAGCAAAGCTGGGAGCCTACACCACCCGGGGCCTGCAGAGATAACGAGTACCTGTGCAGGATAAAATTGGGAGGGAGCTTGCTGCCCACTAACCGCAAGTCCCTAAGCCAAGGTTCTACCTCGATAATGAAGCTCTGGTTCCACACAGAGCCTTTCACCAGCTTTTCCAAACGGCTCTCCTGTCCTTGAACTAGATGCTTTACGAATAGCCTTGGGGAGTGGGCAGGACAGGAGTGCGATAGCATTTACTAATAGCGTTTACCGGTAAGGAAACTGAGGCCCAAAGATGGGGAAGGGATTAGTTCCCAGTCAACCAAAATGAAAACAAACAACAACAAGATCCTTTGGCCCCCAGGCTTGAGTACTTTTACCAGAAACACACCCACATCCTGTTGCAGGGGCACAAGCCTGCCTTCCGGCCCACAGGGGCCCAACGAAGCTATGGCCACTCATTCTCTCTAGCTCTTGGGTCCTGATGCTCCGGCACGGTGACGGCCATCCTCACCCACACTCCCCCTACCCACCACTCAGCCGTCCCCTCTGGCCTCCCTCCACACCCCCTCCTGAGCCCCACCTAAGGGCTCAGCATGGGAACCAGAATGGAAGGTAGGTCTGCCTTGCTTCAAGCCTTCCAGTGCAGCCCAGGACATGCCCCGGGACTGAACACAACATCCTGGGGCCCAGAGGTACAGGGGGGCCACGAGGCTACCCACCCATTGGGGGAAAGCAGGGGCTGACTGGCAACTAAAGAATTCATGGTGGCTCCCTTCCTTGGGAAAAGAAATAAAAACCCTCCCTAAGGTCACCCACTCCTCCGGCCCACATTGCTGATTTTACCCTCTAGTAAAAATTCACTGGGAGCCTGGGGGGCAGGTAAGGATTGCAGGAGCTGGCCAAGAAGAATTGGGGAAGGGGAGACCCAAGTTAGAGCCTGAGTCATAATGAACAGGGGCCTTCCTTGCCCTTAGCTTGGGAAACTTGGGGCTTAATGAGATTATCTCTGAGGTTATCAGAAATGACCTTCTAGCGCTAAATCTGCGGGTTCTTGATTCCACTTGCCTACACAGGTAGAAACACCAGGGTGATGGGAGGCTAGAGGGTACAGGGGTTTATGGAACATGTGCTCCGTGGGTAGAGACCTCCAGGTTCTCTTTGAAAGCTGTGTGGCCTTGAGCAAGCAGCTCAACCTCTCTGAACCCCAGATTCTTTTTCTGTAAAACAAGGGGTAATACTGATTTCACAGAATCATTGGGATGATAAATGAGACTACGTACCTAATGTCCTGGCCCATGGCCCAGCTGGCACAGAGCTCATGAATAAATGACTTTGGCCAGATCTGTGAAATGCCCATATGGCCTGCTTCCCACAGGACTGAATGTAATTTTCCTGGCTCCGGAGCTTCCCTAATACCAGCCACAACCCTTACCAAGACCCAACCCTTGGGTCTTGCACAGAAAAGGGGATGGTTAGCTCTCCCAAGGCAGAGAGAAACGCTGCCATTTCCTCGTGACCTTCTTCCCTATGGCCCCCCGACGATTCCAGGGGTCACCAATCCAACAGTGAAGTAGGGGAGGAGGCAGGCCTTCCTCCGCCAACCAAAACATGGGTTATAAAGAGGATGTGGCCATATGGAGGAAAATACACACATGCATACGCACTTGCACACACAGACACCCACACTCTTAAATTCACGCTCCATGAAAAGAGTCCAACAACAACAACGATGCCTAGGTGCCAGGAACGCATTGCTAACATTGCTAACATATGCAAAACATTACAATTTTATCGTGCACCTATTACCGAAGCCCTTCGCACGGATTCGGATGTCATTATTTGATCTTCGTGCCAATCCAAGGAGGCAGGAATTAGTATCCCCATTTCACAGGAGAGAAAGCTGGCTTTGAACCAGGCTGTCCGAATCCAGACAGTACGGTCTTCATCACATGCGACTGAACCTTGCAGTAAGTGAAAAGACTGAAAACTATCTCAGTGTCCAGTAACAGGGGACCCTGGAAACAAATTGTGACAGTTTCCACTCAAAGGCATTTTACGCAGCTATTGTTAATCCTCCTGCGGCTGAAGGTACAGTCCCGTAAAAAAGTGTGATACGCTGAGTGAACAAACCAGCTATAAAATAATCTCTATCCAGTTTGAAGCCCTTCAAGAAAAAACGAAAGGGTGAAATAGGGAGGAGGAGAAGGAATTGAGGGAGGAAGGGAGAGCAAGAGATGCTCCCCAGTGCTTACTTACAGTTAATTAGCAGCAAGTAGTACGACTGCAGGCAAGTTTACTTTTTCCTTATGTATATTTTGGAAAAATAATAGTTGCTTTACAACAAAGAGTAAAATAAATATATACTTTTTTTTTTTAGATCCTGATTTTTAAAAAAGATTTTATTGATGTATTTATTGGGGTGGGGGAGAGCACGTGAGCAGGGGGAGGGGCAGAGGGAATCTCAAGCTGACTCCTAGCTGAGCTCAGAGCCCGACATGGGGTCTGATCTCGTGACCCTGACAGCATGACCTGAGCTGAAATCATGAGTTGGCAGCTCAACTAACTGAGCCTCCCCAGTGCC